CAGCCATTCAGGCCTGGGCAGAGTGGAGGGATCCTGAGTCCTGTCTGTGCCCATGTGCCAAGCTCATGGCACGACTCCGTGCGAGGCGGTCAGCTCAGAAGGTTTCTATGACACCACGCCGGGTGCTTTCCGGGGCTCCCACCAAGGCCTGTCATTGAAGGGGTCCCAACGGGTTACCCTGGCCTCAGTGCAACATGGACTCTTTGCCAGGCTGCCTGCGGGGCACCGCGTGGATACAGCACGCAGGGCCAGAGCTGAGCGGGCCAGCAGTGGACTGGGCTGGGCAAACAGCTAAACAGAGAGCTGAGAATTGAGGCATATGGGCTTGCACGAGAGCCAAGCCGCCGGCTCCTTCTCAGCTCTCTGCTCCACCAGCCAAGCCAGGGCCGGCAGTCAGGGCACCTTGACACCCCATCGTCCGAGGTCTGATGGTTTCTCAGGAGTCACCGAAGTTGCCAGGTGGCTCGACACCATGCTGAGCACAGCTGCAGAGGGGAGACCACCCTCCAGAGCAAATCAGCTCCCACAACGGGCCTCAGTTTCCCCCGAGACCTTTCAGAGGTTTGTGGATACCTGCGGCATCACTCACGTCACAGCCAACACCCTGTTCCCCCCAGTAAGGGTGAACCAGAACATGCAGAAAAGTTAATCAAACCCCTTCAGATTCTCCTCTGGACCCCCTGGCCCGGAGCTGTCCCACCTGCCAGGAGACATTGGATCCAGGTCTGTTGGTGGGAGGGGAGTCCAGGCCCACTACCCAGGTAGACCCTGGGGGACCTGACTGCCCGAGATTACAGCAGAAGGAAGATCAACATAAAACCCATCAGAAGAGGTGCCATAGGGCGGGGGATCCCGAATCACATCTGGGGGCAAGATTCTCAAGAAAGGGGGACAAAGCAGGGATGTGCCGGGACCCCTCGATCCTGCTGTTAGGGGGCCAGTGGGATCCACCCATCAGAACAGGTCCTATCTTGTAGCAAATACACCCTGATCGCTACCCCAGACTGACTCTGTGGGCAAGCCCCAGCCTGTTTCCTTCAGACCCCGCCAGGAGATACCCAGCCAGAGCCAGGTGCCGCCTGCATTCCCGGAGGGTTATGTCAGAGGTGAGAGGTTCAGGCAAGCCCCCCGCCCTCTGTAGGGCAGCTTGGCCTTGCTCTGCTGTTTCACACCTGCTGAAGGCTGTGGCTTCGTGCAGAGTTCGGATCGAGGTCTCAGTCCTGGGGCCTTTGGTGGGAAGGGTTAGTGCGGACGCTCGGGGGCATAATCGAGCCAGGCAGGAAGGGTTAGAGTGGCAGGCACGCCTGGGTTCGGGCTCGGGGAGGGGCGTAGAGTGGGTTGGGGACGTGAGGCATTTATATCCAGCTCTGGGCGGGAATTGGGGTCTAGTGGCTAGAGCAGAGGTGCTGACCCTGATATATTCTCCCAATGTCCTGCCACTGTTAATAATTTACACCTTATTTCCTGTCTGAATTTGCCTAGCTTCAGCGACCAGCCATGGGATCGCCTTAGACCTTCCTCTGTGAGGCTGCAGAGCCCATTCATAAATACTCACAGACTGGGGTCAAGCCACCCTGGCCCTTCTCTTGGTTCAGCTAACAAGATACGGAGCTGCCTGTACTGTAGCGAGGCCCCGAGAGCTCTAACCGCTTTGCAAAGCTTCATTCGTCGTCCCAGCCCCGCTGGGCAGCAGCCAAGGATTGCTGCCAACTGGCTGGTGTACATGTGCCCTACTGCCCTCGAGTGGCTGCAATCAGAACAGCTCAGCTGTGTCCCAAGCCCTATACTGCTTATGGAGATTCTCCTTTAGCTCAGTAGCAGGGGCTCTGGAACGGGAGAACACCAAGCTCTACCCCCCACTGTCCTCATGCAGCTCTGCGAGGCCCAGCTGGGCAGCACAGTGACCACCATCGCTTTGTTACAGCATTGCTAGCCCCATTGTATAGGTGGGGAAACTGAGTCACAGACCAGCTTGGCACCTGCCCTCCAGCCCCCTGTTCTCACCATGGGATCAGAGTGTCTTTTGCACTGCTGGAGTGACTTTTGAGGGCTGGGGGCGGGGCACGGGGGAGGGGTATTAGCCACAGAGAACTCAATAGTGGGGTGCAGTGACTACTGACCACCCCTCAATCTGTATCTCTATGCCGTGGCTATTTCACTCAAGTGTCTTCCCACACTACCAGAGGCTCGTTCACCTGCACGTCTACCAATGTGATCTATGCCATCATGTGCCAGCAATGCCCCTCTGCCATGTACATTGGCCAAACCAGACAGTCTCTACGTAAAAGAATAAATGGACACAAATCAGACGTCAAGAACTGTAACATTCAAAAACCATCCGGAGAACACTTCAATCTCCCTGGTCACTCGATTACAGACCTCAAAGTGGCAATTCTTCAACAAAAAAACTTCAGAAACAGACTCCAACGAGAGACTGCTGAATTGGAATTAATTTGCAAACTGGATACAATTAACTTAGGCTGAATAGAGACTGGGAGTGGATGGGTCATTACACAAAGTAAAACTATTTCCCCATGTTTATTCCCCCCCCACCCCACCCCCCACTCTTCCTCACACATTCTTGTCAACTGCTGGAAATGGCCCACCTTGATTATCGCTACAAAAGGTCCCCACCCCCACCCCCCTCTCCTGCTGGTAATAGCTCACCTGACCTGATCTCTCTCGTTACAGTGTGTACGGTAATACCCATTGTTTTATGTTCTCTGTGTATATATATATATCTTCCTACTGTATTTTCCACTGAATGCATCCAATGAAGTGAGCTGTAGCTCACGAAAGCTTATGCTCAAATAAATTGGTTAGTCTCTAAGGTGCCAACAAGTCCTCCTGTTCTTTTTGCGGATACAGACGAACACGGCTGCTACCCTGAAACCTATTCCTAAATGTTAATACTCCTGTTTTGATCTTTGACTCAAAGCCATAGTATAGACAAGACTCGTTTGCTGACATCCCAAGCCCTGAGCACACAGCTCCCCTTCTCTCTCTCACAATGCCCCGCATGTCACAGCGCTGTTTGTGACGAAGTGGGACTGTTCTTAATGTTTCCTCCGAATATTGTGGGGGTGCCTCAGTTTCCCCTATGTAGTTCTTAAGTATCTAGGTGGTGGGGTAAGGGTGTATGATCATTGCAGAGCCCTAGAGGGCAGGTGTGTGCAGGGGTCTGGACACAGAGAATGGCCGACACCCTGTTTCCTGGCAACTGATGGCCTGGCCCTTCCCCCCTGCAAGGTGAGAGCTAAAGGGTTGGAGAACAAAGGAATCAGGTGACCACCTGGCCCAGGAAAGGGACAAAGCCCAGGGGAGGAGAGGCTGGAGGGAGTTTCAGTTTGGGGCTGGCTGGGACATGGAGTGAAGGGCAGACTTGGTTGTCTGGCTCACTGCCCCCCCCTCCCAAAAAATGGACCCAGCTGGGGGGTCGTGTTCTCTGCACCTGCAAGCTCTGTTTTAGACCATGTTCCTGTCGTCTAATAAACCTCTGTTTTACTGGCTGGCTGAGAGTCACGTCTGATTGCGGAGTTGGGGGGCAGGACCCTCTGGCTTCCCCAGGACCCCACCTGAGCGGACTCGCTGGGGGAAGCGCACGAAGGGGCAGAGGATTTTGAATGCTCCGAGGTCAGACCCAGGAAGGTGGAGCCGGGGGAGCTGTGTGTCCTGCAGACAGGCTGCTCCCAGAAAGGAGACTGCCCCAGAGTCCCGACTGGCTTCATGGGGAGCAGTTCCAGAGCATCGCCCAGGGACTCCGTGACACTGTTCATTTCCAGATCTGCCAAGCCAGTCAGGTCAGGCTGGAGGTAATTAACTCTTTCCGGCCCTGTCACCTTTCAATGGGACATTAATAATTTTATTAAGATGATGTTGAAGTAAAAAGAAAATGGTACAGAGTTTAAGCATAGAAGTTTCTGGTTATCAGGGAATAAGGTACAGATTATCAAGGGGTGCGAAATTCGGTGTAGGAGCGGGTGGCGTAAGGGATACATAATCTGCAATCTCCCCGATTGGGGGTAAAAGTTTAGCGGGTCAAAGTGCAGACATTGAGCTATGGGGGTGTGTTGTCCACATCATGGCTATGTTCAGGTGTGGAGTATAATGAGTGGATAGGATGATGAGGATGGATCTACCCTCATTTGGTGGGATTTAATGTTCCGTGAGTTTATGGTTCCAGTTCATATGGTCCAATGGAAAAGTCTCTCGGTCCCTTTCCCGTAGTGGATGCAGGATGTCGTACCGGCTCATAGTACACTCAGGACCTCACACAGGGCACGGTGGGCAAAGGTTGTTGACTCTCTGCAGAGACCCAGGTGTGACTGACACCACCTGCCTGGGCCCTGGGCCCCGGGCCCCGTGGAGAGTCCGAGAAGACAGTGGCCACTCCAAGGGAACATTTGGCCCCTGGCAACTAACGCCCGTGGAGCCCTTCCCCCCCCCCAGGAAGCCAGTGGGGTGCGACCAGCTGGGGACCAAGGGGCTGGAAGGAGGAGACGCTCCTGGCCTGGGACTAAGGCAGGCTCAGGGGGCTGGGGCCGAGCCAGGGGGCAACTGCCCGTTCTCTTGGCTAACCAAGGGCTTTCTAGGCGGTGTCCAGACATCTAATAACCCGACTGCCTGTCCCCGCTGGCTGAGTCCCAGCAGGCGCGGGGGGGGGGGGGTGTCCTCCCCGGGTGTCCAAGACAGGAGGACTCGCTGCAGGGAGCTCCCGGCGGACGCAGGGGGGCTGGCGGCGCCGAGGATGGGACCCAGGAGGTGGTGAACCAGGGGAGCGTGTGCCCCTGCGGGGATTGGCGACTGAAGGGGTCCGGGGCCTGTCCCAGAGCACCGGGCTGGGGATCCCTGACACCCCATCTCACACCCAGAACCGAAGCAGGGAAGCCAGGGGTCAGATTTTCAAAAGAGCCGGCGCTTGGCCCGCAGGGTTCTGGACCCTGCCCGGGCAGGCTCGGGCCCTCAGCCCGGGGCTGGGCTGAGTCGATGCCGGTGCGGTGCCGCGTTCCGGGCCCAGCTGTCCCCGGCCCCCTCTGGGGGCGAGACACCCCCTTTGCCCAGCTCTGAGCGGGTCCCTTCCGCGCTGCCTCTCGCCCGGCTCCGCTCCGGGTTTTCGCTCCGGCCCCCAGAGGGTCCCGGCGCCGGCCCCCTTCCCCGCAAGGGGATCCCGCCGCTGCATTGCACCGAGGGGCGCACGGAGTCCGGAGCGCGCCCGGCTGCTGCTCCCCCCGCCGGCGCCCCACCAGCTCCGCTCCCCCGCGGGCCGCCCCGGCTGTGCCCCCAGAGGGGACGGGCGCGGTCCCCGGCACCTCCGGCTCCGGGCCAAGGCAGAGCCCGGCTGCGCTGCGGGGTGGGGCGCGGGGCCCCCCATCCCCGTGCGCCCTGCGCCTTGGCCGGTGCTGCTGCCTGGCTCTGCCCCGGGGGCTCCCCGAGCTAAACTGTACAGGGCGGGACCCCCGGCCCCGATCCGGCCCCGATCCGGCCGCCCTTCTCCCCGCGCTCCGTGCGCCTGGCCCCGGGCGCTCGGCCCATGGCGCGGCTGCCCCTGGCCCTTTGGCTCGGGCTGGCGGCGCTCTCCCTGCAGGCCCCGCCGGGCGGCGAGCCGGGCCCCGAGCTGCCCCCGCTCCACTACGGCGACAACGGTGAGTGAGCCCCGCTCCGACGGCCGGGCCGAGGGGACCCACGTGCCCCGCCCGGCTCCGCGCAGATTCCTTCCCGGCGTCGGGAATCCCCTGCCCCGCGGCGGCCCCAGCCCTGGCCCCGCCGGCGGGGCGCGGAGCCCCCTGGGCTCGGGCTTCCGCTGCTGGAGCGGGCCCGGGGCCAGGCACAGCCTGGGTTGCTGGACCTGCCCGGAGGGTTCTCGGTTTGGGGGGCCCAGGGCTGGCTTTGGGGGCACCTAGGGGGGTTCCCTGTTGGAGGGCCTGGGGCTGGCACTGGAATGGGGCTGGCACTGGCCAAGGAGGGGATGAGCCACCCCTGGGCTCTGCGTGTTTCCTTGGGGCGCCCGGCAGCACTTTGGGCCTAGTCACGGTTCTTCTTCCCCTTGGGGTCAGGCTGGGCCCCTTCTTTCCCTCCGCTCCACGTGCTGGTTTGGTGTGGGGACGGGGCAGGGAGAGCGTGACATGAACCAGGGCCGAGAGCCCCAGGGCCTGCGGCCTGGCCTGGGCTGGATTCCCAGGTGATGATTCTCCTGGGGCCTGTTCACTCCAGAGGGCCTGCAGGCTGGGACCCCGGCGTCCGGGTGCCCCCGGCGATATGTGGCTGAGAATGCGGGCACTCTCTGCAGCTGGGCCTCCCACGCCCTCCCGGGGCCATCTCCAGATGTTCCTAACTCTGGGATCTCACCAGATGTGGGGTCACTAAAGATACAAGGGCCAAACCCAGCTGTGGTGGGAGTGGTAAAATCGGTGTCTCTGACACCAGGATCCAGCTGGCCCGTTCCCTTTATCGTACTAAAGGAGTTCTGTCTCTCTGGCCCCCTTGTTGATCTGGGTCAGTTTCAGCCAGTTTCTTAAGGACTCTTCATTCCAGCCCAACAGGGAGGTGACCCCCACCCCATCCTGCCCTGCAACCATAGCCCGTTTCCCACGCTGGGGAACCACGCAACGGATAAGGGGAAACTGAGGCACACTCAGGCATCGTAAAAATATTCCAGAAAATTCCCACTGTATCACGTTTCTTCCAACTGAAGCAGGGTCACTTTAACCAGTGGCCTGGGGAAGTTTGGCCCCACCGGTGCCCCAGGGTCTCTCCCGACCCTAGGGGTCTCACAGCACCTGGCTCACCAGGTCCGGCCTCTTCCGTGGCACATGAGGAGCTGCTGTGTGGCCCTGCCCTCCCAGACCCTTTGGGTTTGAAACGGGGCTGGGGTCCTGCTACTGCCTCGTCCCCCTCGTCTGCAGGGAGCGAGGAGGGCCATGAATCCACCTTCCTCCGAGTCTCCACCCCACCAATGTCTCCCCATTAACCTTCTGCTCCCTCTGGGGGTCAGATGGGTCTGAGCCCAGGTGGGTCCAAGAGGACATGGGTACTGATACCGGGAGTGGGAGCCCGTCTGTCCCCACCCTCTGTGCCCCCGAGGCTTGGTGGATGCTTCCCTCCAAAGGATCAGCCCTAGCTGGACACTCCCCTGCCCTGGGCAAATCCTGTGCCATCCAGCCTGGGGCAGCCTGCCCGCTGATGGCCTGATTCCCTACAAGTGTTGCACCCCCAGTCCTGGTGATCCCGCGGTGGGGGTCTGCCGGGCCGGCTGCTCACCCCACTTTGGGTTTACCCGAGTCCCACTCCTGGGGCCCCTCCGCTGGTTCCTGGTCCCAGCACCCAGCTTGGTGTGCCTGGTACTGCCTAGGGAAGGCAGAGAGAGACGGGGCAGAAACGGGGGGGTTCTCCAAGAGTCTGTATGAAGTTGGGGCGCGGCCCCCACCCTGTGGCACCGGGACATGCCCTTTTGGGGGGAACGCCCCCAAACCAGTAGACGCACCCCCTGCTGGCTCATATGCTCTGGCAGAACCAGGAGTGTTGCATGCAGGAGAAAACACTCCCTGCAGGCATCGCAGCGCCCCCTACAGACAGGCTGCACCGCGGCGCCCATCCACGCCGCCCTGCTCTGCCTGCTCCTTGGCGCTGGTTGGTAACCGCCCGGGGTGGGGTGCGGGCGTCATGTGTGTCACAGCCCCTCCCCTCTGGAGTTTGGTATCAGCCTGCTTGGGAGCCAGGAGGGTGCCATGGGGAGCCCCACAGGAAACCGAAATGAGGGGGGCTGTCAGGAGGGGAATTCCCCCCCCCAGCTCCATCCAGGCGGGCGTGGGGCAGAGCCCCTGCCCGGCGTATCAGGGAACGCTGCCGGCCTGCCATGGGCCGCACTGCCCATGGGCCTGTGGCAGCAGCCCGGGCAGAGCCGAGGACACCAAAGGCCATGAAGCCGCGCCAGCTGCCCCATCAGCCAGGGCTTGGGGTGCAGCCCGCGGGGCTGCAGCTTCCCGCTCGCAAAGCCTGGGCGGGCTCGGCCCGGTCTCCCCGCGCTGCCAGAGCAGGATGGAGCCGCCCGGAGCCGGCGACCGCTCCCTGCCCCGTGGGGCCGCGTGGCGGAGGGGAGCTGGTGGCAGCCGTCTGGGGCATGTGGGCAGTGAGGCCTCGGCTCTGGGCACCTCGTGTGGCTGACGCTGTCGCTGGCCTCGGCACCGGGGGGAAGGCGACTGGGACCGAGCTGGGGAGGGGGCCGTGTGGCTAACGCGGCTGGGCAGCAGGGGGCTGCAGGCCGGAGGCCCAGGCTGAGAGAGGTTGGGGTGCGGGGACCCCCTGTACGAGGAGCAGGAGACCAGGCCTGGCGCCTGGGGGCGGCACTCGAGAGGGGCTGAACGGCTGCATGGCTCAGGCTGCCCATAGCCACTACCCGGTCTCTAGAGCCGCAGGCCTGGCAGGAGGAGATGGACGTGCTGCGGGGGATCCTGCCGCTGGTGCCCCGGGCACAGACCCCGCTGGGCGGGGGGGGCTGAGTGAATCCCAGTGAGATCCAAGGTCTCTCTCTCTCTTCCTCTCCTCCCCTTGCCCCCCAGGCAGCCCCCCCGATTCCCTCTGCCCCCCTCCACCTTCTTCAGCAGAGCTCCCACGCACCAGGCTCCTGCCAGCTGCATGTGAACACAGCCCCTGGCTGGGCCGTGGGCCAGTGCCTGGCATGCCATCCGCAGCACAGCTGCACAGACCTGTCAGGGACAGCCGGGGAGAATCCTCAGGCGACCCCCTGGCTATCCACCCCCCAGCCCATGACGGTCTGTGCCCAGGGCACCAGCACCAGGATCCACCCCCCAGCCCAGTGGGATCTGTGCCCGAGCGCATCAGTGACAGGATCCAGCTCCCCAGCCCAGTGGGTTCTGTGCTCAGGGGCACCAGCACCAGGATCCAGATCCCCAGGCTTTTAGAGCTGCAGGTTCCAGACCCCCCCCAAGTCCCACGCTGGGGTGAGGGGATGGGGCAGGGGGGGTGGCTCTTCCTTCCCATTTCTTCCACTTCTCGGCTCCCACTGGGTCTCTGTGCACAGGGCCAGTGGCCCATGGCTGGCTGGGGACAAGTTTCGTGTGGGTCCCCAGCTCCCCTTTGCTCAGGGTCAGGATCGGGCCCCTTGGGGTTCGGCATCGGTCCAGCCAGGGACTCAGCATGAAAGTGGGGACCGGGGGGTCCCAGCAGAGATCCCCGCGTCCCGCCTGGGATGACGGCTCTGCAGACGGAGATGGAGCGGGGGAGAACCCGGGGGGCGGGAGAGATGCGCATTGCTAAATCCGCCCCCCGACCCCTGCTTGCTTCGCAGTCCTTGACCTGCTGGAGGCGCTGAACGTCACCCGCTCCGTCCAGGGCGTCAGCAGGGCCCCGGGCCCCGAGCCGGGCGCCCCGGCCTGGAAGTTCCGCCAGCGGGTGCCCCACCTGACGCTGCCCTGGGACTACGCCGTCTACCTGCTGGCCAGCTCGCAGGGCGCCCTGGGCTTCCACTTTGTGGCCAGGCAGAGCCAGGGCTCGGCGGGCACGCTCATCTCCCTGGTGTCGCCGGCTGCTGCCGCGCGGGACGGGCGCCCGCTGCTGCAGCTGGCGTCCAGCACCCGCGCCAACCAGCTGCGTCTGGACTACCGCGCCGGGCCCAGCATGGAGCCCGCCTCGCTGCTCTTCCCCGGCGGCAGCCCCTTCGCCCTGGGCCGCTGGGCCCGGCTGGCCCTCGACCTGCAGCCCCACCGCCTGGCGCTCTTCGTGGACTGCCGCCCGGCCGTGCTCCTGGAGAGGGGCGGCCTGCGGGACGCGCTCAGCCTGCTGCTGCCCCTTGACCTGCAGATCACCTTCGCCAGCCTGCCCGGGGACCCCGCCAGCAAGTTCCTGGTGAGCCCTGCGCCCACAGGCAGCTGCCCCTGCCCGCCCCGGCTCCGGACCCGGGCAGCCCTCCGTGGGGCTCTGCCAGTGTCCTCCCCGAGCTAGGGCCTAGCAGCAGCGGGAGGGTCCCCCCCCCCCACTGCCTTCTCCCCCCTAAGCTCAGGACTGTCTCCCTTCCCAGCTCTGCCGGGGCCCCTCACTCCCGAACCGCAGCCCCCTTCCATCCCGGCCCTGGGGGTCCCCCATACACAGCTCTGCCAGGGCCCCTCACTCCCGAACCGCAGCCCCCTTCCATCCCGGCCCTGGGGGTCCCCCATACACAGCTCTGCCGGGGCCCCTCACTCCCGAACCGCAGCCCCCTTCCATCCCAGCCCTGGGGGTCCCCCATACACAGCTCTGCCGGTGCCCCTCAATGCCGACCTGCAGCCCCCTGCTATCCCCACCCTGGGCTTCCACCCCACAGCCCTGCCGGTGCCCCTCCCTCCCAACCCGCAGCCCCCTACTACCCCAGCTCTGAGCACCCCACACAGCAGCCCAGAGACACACGTGCACACCCCAGTTTCATGGGTGCAGTGACGTTGGGCTCTCGCCCCTGGTGCTGGCGGGCGGCCCGGAGCCTGACGGGCTTCGCTCTCGCTGCAGGGTTATTGGCAGACGGCTGAGATCTCCCCCAGCGGATTCCCACGCCGGCCGTGGCACTGCGAGAACCTGGCAGGTAGGAGCCAGCCACGGCCATGGGGCTGGGATGGGGCTGGGATGGGGGGTGCATCTCCAGACCACCCCGCACATCCAGCTCCACCCCGGGCTGGGTGGGGTCCCACAAGGGAGAGATCTGAATAAATCAGCATTGCCCCTGCTTAGCAGAGTGCCAGGCACCGCAGAATCCTGCTTCCCCCTCCTCCTCCTGTGGGGCGCTTGGCAGGTCTTGGGGGGGACACGTGGGGAAGCTGAGAATGGGGGGCGATTAGGGTGAGGAAGGGGACTTGCCCCTGGGTTGGGACAGAGCTGGGCAGACCCGGCTCTCTCCTCTGGGAATCCTGGATCGGCCGGTCACCGGGGCTGGGGCCTGGCCATGTGATGGCCCCCCAAGCCCTTCCCCGGGGGCCTGGCTGCTCCGGGCCCTTGGACCCCTCCCCTCCACTCTAATCACTAGAGCCCACTCCCCTCTCAGAGCTGGGGATAGAACCCAGAAATCCTGGCTCCCAGCCCCCCTGCTCTAACCACTAGACCCCACTCCGCTCCCAGAGCTGGAATAGATCCAGGTCTCTGTTCTCAGCGTTGCAGCTGCAGTCAGTCCTGGCCCTGTCCCCCGGCCTTTCCTCCCCCCACCAACCCCCTCCCTGGGCTCCTCTCCTCTCCCGCCCCCCGTCTCTCCCCACTGGCCTCAATTCCGGCCCTGGCAGCCATAACAACAGCTGCCCCGCGGCTGCCCCCGGCCTCATCCGCTAACGAGCAGGGCCTCGGGCAGCCTCCGGCGCTAATTGCTGGGGCTGGCTCCGCTCCACCGCCCCCATTGAGGCTGGGGGGATGGGCCCTCAGCTGCGCTGGGTGCAGGCTCCTGGCCACCGCATGTGGGCTAACCCCCCTCCTGAGCGCTCCCCCCACCGGCGCCCCCCTCCCTGGGCAGTCAGTCTGGGATGGAATCGGGCCCCCAGCCATAGATGCAGGCTTGAGGCCAGCCCCCAGGAGCCGGAGGACAAGGAGGATCTGGGGAGATACAGCGGGTGGGGAGCGGAGAGTTTGGGGCCTGGCTGGATGTGGGACAGACGGGCAGGGCCCGGCTCTGAACGCTGCCCCTCAGACACTGCCCATGTGCTCAAGTCCCCGGGCCTGGCAGCCGCGTAGTGCTCCAGGCGCCCCCCATCCTGGGCAGCCCCCCATCCTCCCCTGCCCCCTCTGATCTGCAGCACATCCCCCCTCCCCCATATGAGCCCAGCAAGGTGCAGAGACCAGCCTGGAACCAGCTATCAGCCGGGCACATGGGGCCAAGCTGTGCTCGCCGTGGCCGGTGCCAGTTCAGGGCTGGCCAACCGGCTGCCCTTGGCACTGGCTGCTGGGCCAGGGGGAATCAGCTGTTTCCTCTGGCTACGCTCTGGGTGCTGGGCCCACCCTCGGCTCGGCTGGCTGGCGCTGGGTGCAGGGTGGGATTCGGTGCCCCAGGTTGATGGGCATGAGTGTGCATAACACGTGTGAGCTGAGCATGGATGGGGTTTATCGGGGGGAGGGGCCCCCATGTATCAAACCCCCCGCCGCAGCATGGAGGTGAGGTGGGCTTGGCCGGCTGAGGTGTCTGGGGAAGGTCTCTGTACCGTCTCCCGGGCTGTCCCCGCTGCAGTCACCAAAGGCCCCGTGGATGTTGCCCGCCATGGCCAGGGCTTTGCCCAGCTTCCTGTCAGGTGCAGGTCCTGGCTCCCAGACAACAGGCCTCCTTTGGAAGGGGAATCCCCACTATTAGCAGTCTTGAGCCCATGACACACATCAAGGCAGCTCTGCATCCGTCCAGCAGAGGGCGGCGCTGTGCACCAGCCATCTAACTGGCACCCTGGGAACTGGCTGCTGGGAACTGGCTTTGAGATGTCTGGGGGGGGGGGGCGAGTAGGGGAGGGGTTCCCCAGGGGAGCAGTGAGGGCTGGGGTACATGGGGTTCCCATTTATCCCTTCCCCCCTCCCCACTGCTCCAGGTACCCCCAAGATCCCAGGGGCTGGAGTCATTGGGCTCCAGAGCGGGTGCCGGGGGTGCGCAGTGCCAGGCCATCAGCGGAGCCAGGGGAGAAGTGGCACCAGTTGGGGGGTGGTTTGCAGAGTTCCCTGGGACTCAGGCTTCCCCCCAGCAAACCCCTCGTATCCAGCCCCCAGGCATCCATGGGTAGCACAAGATCCCCGTTCCCACGGGGATGGGCACATGCCAGCCCTGGCGGGATTGGAACCAGCGCTGCGGAACCATCTCCCCCGTTCACGCCCTGCCTGCGGTGTGTTGCAGACCCCTTCCCCGTGCCGTACACCCTGGCGGAGGAGGGGTACCTGGCCGAGCCCCCCTTTGATCAAGGATCCCCCCTAGCCCCGGAGCCGCCGGCCCTCGCCGACATCCGCAACTACCAGCAGCAGCCCGGCGAGCCTGAGTTCCCCCCGGGGCTGGCGCGGCCCCACCCGGACGCCCTGGAGGACAGAATGCAGCGGCTGGAGGAGCTGGTGGATGGATTCGGGGCCATGCTGGACATGGTCAAAGCGCAGGTAGGACCCGGGGACGCGGCCCAGCGGGAGGCAAAGCTCCGGGGAAAAGGCACTCCGGAGAGCGGGCAGTTCCTCCGAGACAATAAGAAAGGGGCCACTGCAGACTGCCCCCGTGGGAAGGAGCCGGGCCGCGGAGCTGCTAACGGCCGGCACCAGGAAGGCTGACGGGTTTCACCCATGGTTTGTTTCACTAAGGCAGTAAATGGTGAGCGGATACTTCACACAGGTCATATGAACCACCGGGGCAAGGAATGCCGGCCCCGACAGGCCAGGCCCAGGGGAAAGCTCGTCTAGAGAGGTGAGATGTGTTCAAGTCGGCAGGGCCTGATGAAATTCACCCTCTGATGCTTAACGAACTAGCTGAAGCCATCCCAGACCCGGTAGCGATTATCTTTGAGACCTGGCCACCGGGTGAGGGACCAGAGGGCGAGAGAGGGGCAGACGCAGCACCTTTCTTGAGAAAGGGGATCAAACAGGACTTGGGGGATTAGAGACCCCTCAGCCTGGAAGCTAGGGAAGGATCGGCTTGTGAGCACATAGGGGAGAGCAGGGACAGCCAGCATGGATTGCCTCGACCAAAGCATGCCAAAGCAACCTAATTGCCTTCTGGGACAGGGTTGCTGGCCAAGTGGGTGCGATTGGGGGGTGGGGGAGAAGCTGTAGGTCTGATGTAGCTTGATTTTTAATAAGGCTTTGGACACGGTCCCGTGTGACATTCCCTCGAGAGATGTGGTCGCAATGAAATTACTATAAGATGGGCGTGAAACTCATTAAAAGACGGTTCTCCGAGAGTCGTTACCCGGGTTCACTGGCCAGTGGGGCGGCCGTGTCTGGTGGGGTCCCGCAGGGGTCAGGGCTGGGTCCAGGACGAGTCAATACTTGGATTACTGACTTGGTTCCTGGCGTGGAGAATACGCTGCTAAAGGTGGCAGGTGACACCCGGCTGGGGGGGTTGCCAGCCCTTGGCGGGGTGGGGTTAGAATTCAGCGTGAGCTGGGCAAATGGGGGAATTGGTCTGAATTCAACACGCTGAGATTCAATACAGACGGAGGCAGGAGAAATCAAAGGCAAAGCTGCAAACCGGGGAGCGGCCGGCGAGGGGGTGGCGCTGGTGAAAAGGAGCTGGGGGCTACAGCAGATTGGACGTTGAGTGTGGGTCAGCCGTGTCTGGCAGGTGTGAAGAAGGCTACGCTCCTTCTGGGGCGTATTTAGAAAACCTGACCTCGGAGGAGAGGTTAAAAAACGGGACCTGCTTAGTTTTGAGAGAAGGCGACTGAGGGGGGACCTGAGAACAGTCTTCACATCTCACGGGTTGTTCTCCAGAGGACGGGGATCCGGTTTTCTCCGCAGAAGGCAGGACAGGCAGGAATGGGCATAATCCGCAGCAGGGCCTGTTTTGGTTGGATAGGAGGGGAAAAGTTATTGCTCTCAGGGTCGATCAGCTTTGGACCAGGCTTCCGGGGGATCATGGGATCCCTGACACTGAGGGGTCTGGCAGGGCTGGTCCATGTCCATTTGGTCCTGCCTCAGCGCAGGGGTCTGTACGTGACGTCTCAAGGTCCCTTCCAGCCCTGATTCTATGAGACTCAGCCCCCTTCCGGCTCCCAGTCAGGAATAGTCCTGGCTCCCAGCCCCCTGCTCTGACCACTGGACCCCACTCCCCTCCCAGAGCCAGGGATAGAACCCAGGAGTCCTGCCCCACCTCTCACCCACTAGACACCACTGCTCCCCCAGACGTGGGATAGAACCCAGGAGTCCTGGCTCCCAGGACCCCCCCGCCCACTAGACCCCCAGCCCATGCTCACGGCTCGCCCGCTGTCTCCTACAGAACTGGGAGCTGCTGGCCCGCGTGAAGTCCCTGGAGCGCTGTGAGTGCCGGAGGCCGGCATGCGTGTGGGAGGGGACGCGGCACGAGGACGGAGCCACCTGGGACAAGGACGCCTGCACCGCCTGCATCTGCCTGCAGGGGGAGGTGCAGTGCTCGGCACGCCAGGACCGGCCCCAGTGCCTCGGTGAGCAGGGGCCCGGGGCCCTGGCTCCTGTAGGGGGCGCTGTGCCATTCAGCCATCACGGCCATGCCTAGGGCTGGCCTGGCTGCCGGTGCTCCGGGGGCATCGTGCCCAGCCTGCCCTGTGCTGCGCGGGGCAGGGCTGGGTGCGGCTGTGCCATGCGCTGAGCTCTCACCCCAGCGCCTGGCTGGCACCGACCTTTGCCCCTCTGCCGCCGTCAGGGCAGCTCAGCCGTCTGCGGCTCTCGTCCCTCTGCCTGAGCGACTGCCGCGGGGTAACGGCTCTCGTACTGCTGGTGGGGGGAGCTCCCCCTTCAGCGCCAGCGGGCGCGGGGCTCCCGGGGCGGGGCACACGGGGAGGAGGGCACGGGGCTGCCCGGGGCGGGTCACACGGGGACGAGGGCGCGGGGCTGCCGGGGCGGGTCACACGGGGAGGAGGGCGCGGGGCTGCCCGGGGCGGGGCACACGGGGAGATGGGCGCGGGACTGCCGGGGCGGGGCACACGGGGAGGAGGGCGCGGGGCTGCCCGGGGCGGGGCACACGGGGAGATCATAGAATCATAGAATATCAGGGTTGGAAGGGACCCCAGAAGGTCATCTAGTCCAACCCCCTGCTCGAAGCAGGACCAATTCCCAGTTAAATCATCCCAGCCAGGGCTTTGTCAAGCCTGACCTTAAAAACCTCTAAGGAAGGAGATTCTACCACCTCCCTAGGTAACGCATTCCAGTGTTTCACCACCCTCATAGTGAAAAAGTTTTTCCTAATATCCAATCTAAACCTCCCCCCACTGCAGCTTGAGACCATTACTCCTCGTTCTGTCATTTGCTACCACTGAGAACAGTCTAGAGCCATCCTCTTTGGAACCCCCTTTTAGGTAGTTGAAAGCAGCTATCAAATCCCCCCTCATTCTTCTCTTCTGCAGGCTAAACAATCCCAGCTCCCTCAGCCTCTCCTCATAACTCAAATGGGCGTGGGGCTGCCAGGGCGGGTCACACGGGGAGGAGGGCGCGGGGCTGCCGGGGCGGGTCACACGGGGAGGAGGGCGCGGGGCTGCCCGGGGCGGGTCACACGGGGAGGAGGGCGCGGGGCTGCCGGGGCGGGGCACACGGGGGAGGAGGGTGCGGGGCACACGGGGAGGAGGGTGCGGGGCTGCCCGGGGCGGGGCACACGGGGAGGAGGGTGCGGGGCTGCCCGGGGCGGGTCAGAGGGGGAGGAGGGCGCGGGGCTGCCTGGGGTGGGTCACACAGGGAGATGGGCGCGGGGGCTGCCTGGGGCGGGGCACACGGGGAGGAGGGCGCGGGGCTGCCCGGGGCGGGGCACACGGGGAGGAGGGTGCGGGGCTGCCTGGGGGCGGGTCAGAGGGGGGAGGAGGGCGCGGGGCTGCTGGGGGCGGGGCACACGGGGAGGAGGGCGCGGGGCTGCCCGGGGGCGGGGCACACGGGGAGGGAGGGCGCGGGGGCTGCCCGGGGCGGGTCAGAGGGGGAGGAGGGCGCGGGGCTGCCTGGGGCGGGTCAGAGGGGGAGGAGGGCGCGGGGCTGCCCTGGGGCGGGGCACACGGGGAGGAGGGCGCGGGGCTGCCTGGGGCGGGTCAGAGGGGGAGGAGGGCGCGGGGCTGCCTGGGGCGGGTCAGAGGGGGAGGAGGGCGCGGGGCTGCCTGGGGCAGGTCACACGGGGGAGGAGGGCGCGGGGGCTGCCGGGGCGGGGCACATGGGGAGGAGGGTGCGGGGCTGCCCGGGGGCGGGGCACACGGGGGAGGAGGGCGCGGGGCTGCCTGGGGCGGGTCAGAGGGGGAGGAGGGCGCGGGGCTGCCTGGGGCGGGGCACACGGGGAGGAGGGCGCGGGGCTGCCTGGGGCGGGTCAGAGGGGGAGGAGGGCACGGGGCTGCCTGGGGCAGGTCAGAGGGGGAGGAGGGCGCGGGGCTGCCTGGGGCGGGTCACACGGGTAGGTGGCCGGGCCCAGAGATCTGACCAAATGCCGCAGGGAGGGGCACCGGGCTGGCCCGTGGGTGCTGCCATGTCCCTGTGGGTGGTGTGAATGGTCTGGTTTTGTTTTAGAGCTCTCTGCCCCCAGCCTGTGTTCAAATGGGGGCTGTGCCAGGCCTTGAGCACTGAGCCCTCTGGATTCCTCTGCCAGTGCCTGGACCAGGGGCACTTCACCCACACGTACCCCCCAGCGGGCCCACAGCCCTGCTCTGGGCTCCCAGCAGCTTGCCCCGTGCCTCACCCCTCCCGGCCTGCGCTGCCCCCTGCCAGCCTGGAGCCAGACGGCGTTTGGGGAGGGTGAGCTCTTGGCCGTGCCGCTGCATGGGAATGAGGGTCGTGTGCGTGCCTACGTGTCTTCTCTTGGCGTCCTGCGGGCCAGTTCCCTGCCCCCGGGCGCAGGGCTGGTCTGCACTCCTACCGCCCCAGGCAGGGGGTCCTGACGTGGGGGTGGGGAGGTTTGGGGCAGTGGGTTTCAGCCGGGGCAGCGCGGTGCAGTCGGCAGAGGGAGCAGCCGTGGCTGGGGCCTGTGCATCTTCCGGCTCCGTGCCCCCCCCCGGCTGCCCAGTTCACCCACCACCTCCAGCTGCCCCAGGGCGTCTCCAACACCATCAGGCGCCCGGTGGGTCAGAAGAGCTGTGGGGCAGTGTCCCGGCGTCCCGGGGTGCTGCTCTGGGACTGCTCCCGACGAAGCCAGGCAGGACTCTGGGGGAGCCTCCTCTCCGGGAGCAGCCTGTCTGCAGGACACACAGCTCACCCGGCTCCACCTTCCTGGGTCTGACCTCGGAGCATTCAGCCTCCTCTGCCCTCCGTGCGCTTCCCACAGCAAGTCCCCCAGGCGGGGTCCTGGGGGGGCCAGAGGGTCCTGCCCCCGACTCTGCAGTCAGACGGGACTCTCAGCCAGCCAGTAACACAGAAAGTTTATTTGACGACAGGAACATGGTCTAAAACAGAGCTTGTAGGTGCAGAGAACAGGACCCCCCAGCTGGGTCCATTTTGGGGGGCCGTGAGCCAGACAACCCTGTCTGCACTTCACTCCTCATCCCCAGCCAGCCCCAAACTGAAACTCCCTCCTCCCCTGGGCTTTGTCCCTTTCCCGGACCAGGAGGGCACCTGATTCCTTTGTTCTCCAACCCTTCAGCTCTCACCTTGCAGGGGGGAGGCCCAGGCCATCAGTTGCCAGGAAACAGGGTGTCGGCCATTTTCTGCATCCAGACCCCTGCACACACCTGCCCTCTAGGGCTCTGCAATGATCATACACCCTTATCCCACCCCCTAGATACTTAAGACTGCATAGGGGAAACTGAGGCATCCCCACAATATTCAGAGGAAACATTAACAACAGTCCCGCTTCATCACAGGGGGTTGCCGAGGGCTGCTGTGCCCACAGGCTGAAGGTCACGGTTTGAACCCTGCCCCGGTGAGCCCAGCTGGACTGGTGGAGCTCCCGGGGACTACAGGTCCCAGCATGCATTGGTGCCCCATGCCCTGAGCATGGATCAGCTAGCACACCGGTGCATGCAGGGAGCTGGAGTCTCCCTTGGCTGCAGCTCGGCACCTGCCCCGCTCATTCCCCTGGCCGGCTGTGGGGTGGGGCCCTTGCAGGGCTCTGGGCAGGGGCGGGGATCTCCCACCTACCATGCTAATGCTCTGCCCGTGTCCCTCCCAGGCTGCAGCTATGCAGGGCAGCTCTACAGCAACGGGGACGCCTTCGGCAGGGACGCCTGCACCACCTGCCGCTGCCGGGTGAGCGCCCGCAGCCCTGCCAGGCCCCCAGACATGGGCACTGGAGGGGCTGGGCAAACGGACACTGCGGGGGTGGGCACATGGGCACTAGGGGGGCAGGCACATGGGCATGGGCACCGGGGGGGGCCTGGACACAGACACGGGCACTGGGGGGCTGGGCACACGGACACGGGCACTGGGAGGTGGGGTTGGACACATGGACCCAGGCACTTTGGGGGCTGACACCCCAACGTGGGCTTTGAAGGGAGTTTGGGTGCAGGAGGGGGCTCAGGGCTGGGGCAGGGGGTTGGGGGGCAGGGGGGAAAGCGGGGGGGCGCTGTGCTGGGGGGAGCAGGACAGGGGCTCAGTAGGGGACACTCTCCCTGGCAGTCGGGAAGTGTCTCTCAGGGGCCTGGCCCCCGTGTGGTCCCAGCACTGTTTTGCAGAGCTGGGGATGGACCCCGGAGTCCGGGCCGGTGCTACGTCTAGGAGAGTGCTCCTGCCTCCTTCGCTGCCCCTCTTCAGCTCCCGTTGGGGGCCCGATTCTTCGTCCCATCCTGTCCTTGGCACCGGCTGGTCGGGGGCTGCTGCCCTTTGCCCCAGGGGCAGCTGCATTTCAGTGCTGGGGGGGACCCCTGCGGGGACACAAAGTGCCCTGTGGAAATGCTAGAGAGGAAGGAGGCTAATGTGGGTGAAGGGGATCCCAGGCTGAGCCCGCGTGCTTTGGGGTTCAGAGTGCCAGGTGGTCAGCTCTAACCCGCCAGAGCCCACTCCTCTTCCAGAGTCGGGATAGAACCCAGGAGTCCTGGCTCCCAGCCCTGCCTGCTCTAACCCGCCAGAGCCCACTCCCCTCCCAGGGCTGGGATAGAACCCAGGAGTCCTGGCTCCCAGCCCCGCCTGCTCTAACCCGCCAGAGCCCACTCCCCTCCCAGGGCTGGGATAGAACCCAGGAGTCCTGGCCCCCCCATATGTCTCACTGCCCGAGCGAGTGCAGCAGATGTTGGCGTGTGCCCGTGTGGAGGCGTGTGCCCGTGTGGAGCCGTCTCCCTGTGCTGAGGCGTGTGCCGTGTGCCCAGGAGGGGGAAGCCCGCTGCGTGACGGAGCAGTGCCCGCCGCCCGCCTGCCAGCACCCGCTCCCCTCACAGGGGAAGTGCTGTCCCGAGTGTGCGGGCTGTCTGTACAGCGGGCACCAGCTGAGGGACGGGCAGAGCTACCAGGAGGGGCCCTGCAGCACCTGCACCTGCAGGGTGAGTCCTGGGCACCAGGAGGGGAAGGGGGGCAAGTGGGTCCCACTGCCTGAGGTTCAAACCCAGAACCACTGCCCCCGGCTCAGGGCTGGGCTAGCAGGGGCTGCGGGGCAGGACTGAGGGACACCGGCAGAGCTGAGGGAGTGGGGGGATCCCAGGGCTGGGCCGGCAGGGGGCTGCGGGTCAGGGCTGAATAGCAGGGCACAGTAGATTTGGGGAGTTGGGGGTGCCAGTCGCTGGGGCATGGGCGCCTTGTACCTGGGGAGAGGGACTCACAGGGCGCAGCGCCCCCCGCTGGCCATACAGGGCTGATCCCGCAGTCTGGCTGCCCCTGCCAACTGTATTTGCTCCCTGTCAGGCTGGGACCGTGCGGTGCCAGGAGACCGTGTGCCCGGAGCTCTCCTGCCTGGAGCGCGAGACCCTGCCTGGGCAGTGCTGCCCCACCTGTCGGCCAGGTGAGGTGCTGCTGGGGCGGGAACCTGGGTCAGGCTGGCTCTGGGGTGCCCCTGTTCCCACCCCTTGGCAGAGGCCCAGTGGCGTGTCCCAAGACCCGCTGTGTCTGCAGGGGAGGGGAGGCAGTGGGCATGGACCCTGGGGTTCGCTGTCCCGCCAGGCTGCGTGGGGCGGTGCTGGAGGAGTGCAGCCAGCTCTGGGGGGGACCGTGATGGTGGGAAGGGTCTTTGTTAAAACTAACAATGGGCATTTGTCACGTGGCTGCCAGAGCCTGGTACAGGGCAGCACAACCGGGGCACCCGAGCCCAGGTCATCCGAATCCAGGGCAGCCCCTCAGATGCTAAAGGAGTTGGCGGCTGTGATTGCAGAGCCATTGGCCATTATCTTTGAAAACTCGTGGCGATCCGGGGAAGTCCCGGACGACTGGGAAAAGGCTAATGTAGTGCCCATCTTTAAAAAAGGGAAGGAGGAGGATCCTGGGAACTACAGGCCAGTCAGCCTCACCTCAGTCCCTGGAAAAATCATGGAGCAGGTCCTCAAGGAATCAATCCTGAAGGACTTAGAGGAGAGGAAAGTGATCAGGAACAGTCAGCATGGATTCACCAAGGGCAAGTCATGCCTGACTAATTTAATGATGAGATAACTGTGGATGAGGAGAAAGCAGCGGACGTGTTGTTCCTTGACTTTCGCAAAGCTTTTGACACGGACTCCCACAGTATTCTTGCCAGCAAGTTAAAGAAGTATGGGTTTGATGAATGGATGATAAGGTGGATAGAAAGCTGGCTAGATTGTCGGGCTCAACGGGTAGTGATCAATGGCTCCATGTCTAGCTGGCAACCAGTATCAAATGGAGTGCCCCAAGGATTGGTCCTCGGGCCGGTTTTGTTCAATTTCTTCATAAATGATCTGGAGGATGGTGTGGATTGCACTCAGCAAATTTGCAGATGACACTAAACTGGGAGGAGAGGTAGATACGCTGGAGGGTAGGGATAGGATAGAGAGGGCCCTAGACAAATTAGAGGATTGGGCCAAAAGAAATCTGATGAGGTTCAACAAGGACAAGTGCAGAGTCCTGCACTTAGGACGGAAGAACCCAATGCACCGCTACAGACTAGGGACCGAATGGCTCGGCAGCAGTTCTGCAGAAAGGACCGAGGGGTTACAGTGGACGAGAAGCTGGATATGAGTCAACAAGAAGGCCAATGGCATTTGGGGATGTATAAGTAGGATCATTGCCAGCAGATCGAGGGACGTGATCGTTCCCCTCTATTCAACATTGCTGAGGCCTCATCTGGAGTACTGTGTCCAGTTTTGGGCCCCCCACTACAAGAAGGATGTGGATAAATTGGAAAGAGTCCAGCGAAGGGCAACAAAAATGATTAGGGGTCTGGAACACATGAGTTATGAGGAGAGGCTGAGGGAGCTGGGATTGTTTAGCCTGCAGAAGAGAAGAATGAGGGGGGATTTGATAGCTGCTTTCAACTACCTGAAAGGGGGTTCCAAAGAGGATGGCTCTAGACTGTTCTCAATGGTAGCAGAGGACAGGACAAGGAGTAATGGTCTCAAGTTGCAGTGGGGGAGGTTTAGGTTGGATATTAGGAAAAACTTTTTCCCTAAGAGGGTGGTGAAACACTGGAATGCGTTACCTAGGGAGGTGGTAGAATCTCCTTCCTTAGAGGTTTTTAAGGTCAGGCTTGACAAAGCCCTGGCTGGGATGATTTAACTGGGAATTGGTCCTGCTTTGAGCAGGGGGTTGGACTAGATGACCTTCTGGGGTCCCTTCCAACCCTGATCTTCTATGATTCTATGGATTCGGGCCAGGAACTTGGATCCGGGACCCCAGGAGCTACGTCTCAGGGACTGCAGAGGAGCCGACATTAAAAGGGGAGAGCCCCCTGCTGAGACCCCATCCTGCTCCGCCCAGCACAACAACCCCCGTTGAGCCCCTGCCCCGCTCCCCCCAGCTCAGCGCCCGCTGCCCCACTCACCCCCCAGCGCAGCGCCCACTGCTGAGCCCCTGGCTCCCTGCAGCCCAGGGGAAAGGAGGGGTGTCCGTGTGACCCGACCGCTCTCCTGTGCCCAGGCTGTGAGTACGACGGGCAAAGGTACCAGGACGGAGACGTCTTCCTGGCCACATCCAACCCCTGCATGAACTGCTCTTGCCTGGTGAGACCCTGCACTCCAGGGGCAGGGGTTTGTCCAGGGCCCCCACAGGGCAGACCAGGGGGGGGCCAGGGCGGGGGTCACAAGGGCTGTGGGTCAGGACTGAGGGGCACCAGCAGAGCTGGGTGAGGGGAGCCTGGGGCAGGGCTAACGGGGCTGCGGGTTGGGAGTGAGAGGCACTGGCAGAGCTGGGGTCCCCAGGATTTGGGCTCCCTCAGCTCCAGAACAGCCCCTTGGAGGGGCCCCTCTGTGGGCCAGACCCCCAGGGGGTCCCACTCTCCCGTCAGGTCGGCCATGTGGCCTTGCCACCTGTCACGGAGTCCCTGGGCGATGCTCTGGAACTGCTCCCCATGAAGCCAGTCAGGACTCTGGGGCAGTCGCCTTTCTGTGAGCAGCCTGTCTTCAGGACACACAGCTCACACAGCTTCCACCTTCCTGGGTCTGACCTCGGAGCATTCAGCATCCTCTGCCCCTCCGTGCGCTTTCCCCCAGCGAGTCCGCTCAGGCGGGGTCCTGGGGAAGCCAGAGGGTCCTGCACCCCAACTTCGCAGTCAGACGTGACTCTCAGCCAGCCAGTAAAACAGAAGGTTTATTAGACGACAGGAACATGGTCTAAAACAGAGCTTGCAGGTGCAGAGAACGGGACCCCTCAGCTGGGTCCATTCTGGGGGGCAGTGAGCCAGACAACCACGTCTGCACTTCACTCCATGTCCCAGCCAGCCCCAAACTGAAAACCCCCTCCAGCCCCTCCTCCTCTGGGCTTTGTTCCTTTCCTGGGCCAGGAGGTCACCTGATTCCTTTGTTCTCCAACCCTTTAGCTCTCACCTTGCAGGGGGGGAAGGGCCCAGGCCATTAGTTGCCAGGAAACAGGGTGTCGGCCATTCTCTGTGTCCAGACCCCTGCACACACCTGCCCTCTAGGGCTCTGCAATGATCATACACCCTTACCCCACCCCCTAGATACTTAAGAACTGCCTAGGGGAAACTGAGGCACCCCCACACTATTCAGAGGAAACATTAAGAACAGTCCCACTTCGTCACAGGAGCCTGTCCACATCCCCAACCATCTGGCTGACGGAGTCTATGGCCTTGGGACCCAGCAAGGGAGCTAGACACCGGGGCTTTTCCGCAGGGTCCCCTTGGTTCAAATCGCCAGCCTGCTCAAAGGCAGTGAGGTGGGCATCCACACCCCCCCCCCTCCTTAACCAGGGGCAGCAATTTAGTCTCGAGGTTCCCTGCGGAACTGGCCCCCCGGGATCTATCCCCACTCACCCCTGGGAGGTCCCCTAGGCCTCTCCGCCCCACCACCGCCAGTTCATGCTGCTGCTGCTTCTGCAGCTCTTTCTCGGGCTCTCGCTGTCTCCCAGGGTCCTCTTGCTCTCTCAGACTCAGCTCCAATCCCGTCCGTCTCGATCCCCCGATGGGGAACCCGATCATGAAGACCCTCGTCTGGTCGGGGACAGGAGTCTTGGCGATGCCTGGCTCCCGCTTCAGCTGCTCCCAGATCCTGCTATAGCCCCAGTTGGGGTCAGGAATCTGTTCCTTAGAGCCGTCATCCTCCTCTAGCTGCACGATTAACTCTGCTTTGGTGAACTTTCCAACGCTCAACCCTCTCTTTTTGCACAGGGTTACAATGTCCTTCTTAAGGAGAAGGTGACAGGCCATCACTCCGCTCCTCCCAAGTTGTTGTGGACTCACAGGCCCGTGTGTTCTCAGCTCCCCACGGTTTCCAGGGAGAACCCCTAGTGTGCCAGCCCTTCTCGAGGTCACCACCTCTTTGCCAGGGTCGAGCTGCAGACTCCTCCGCCCCTAAGACTGCTCACTGCAGTCCCCAGGGGGACCCCATTACTGCACAGTCCTTCTCGCTGGTCACACACTCCCAGGGGTTAACCGCCCCCGAAACTGCTCCTTTCTGAGCCTTCAGCAGGCCTGGTCCTCGGCAATCCCCCTTCGTGTTACTGCTCCCCAGTCACTTACTGCAGGAAGCGCCATCCACGGGGCGCAGTAGATCCCACCGCTGCCACCAGTTGTCACGGAGTCCCTGGGCGATGCTCTGGAACTGCTCCCCATGAAGCCAGTCAGGACTCTGGGGCAGTCGCCTTTCTGTGAGCAGCCTGTCTGCAGGACACACAGCTCACACAGCTTCCACCTTCCTGGGTCTGACCTCGGAGCATTCAGCATCCTCTGCCTCTCCGTGCGCTTTCCCCCAGCGAGTCCGCTCAGGCGGTGCTCCTGGGGAAGCCAGAGGGTCCTGCACCCCAACTTCGCAGTCAGACGTGACTCTCAGCCAGCCAGTAAAACAGAAGGTTTATTAGACGACAGGAACATGGTCTAAAACAGAGCTTGCAGGTGCAGAGAACGGGACCCCTCAGCTGGGTCCATTCTGGGGGGCAGTGAGCCAGACAACCACGTCTGCACTTCACTCCATGTCCCAGCCAGCCCCAAACTGAAAACCCCCTCCAGCCCCTCCTCCTCTGGGCTTTGTTCCTTTCCCCGGGCCAGGTGGTCACCTGATTCCTTTGTTCTCCAACCCTTCAGCTCTCACCTTGCAGGGGGGAAGGGCCCAGGCCATCAGTTGCCAGGAAACAGGGTGTTGGCCATTCTCTGTGTCCAGACTCCTGCACACACCTGCCCTCTAGGGCTCTGCAATGATCATACACCCTTACCCCACCCCCTAGATACTTAAGAACTGCCTAGGGGAAACTGAGGCACCCCCACACTATTCAGAGGAAACATTAAGAACAGTCCCACTTCGTCACACCACCCCATATCCTGATCCTCTGGGGCTGCAGCGCCAGGCACCGTCCAGGCCACAGTGACCCCCAGGGTCGGGCTCTGCGTCTCTGGCATCCTTAGCCCCCCCAAGAGAGTCCCCCTCCCCCGTCCAGGTCCCTGGGGTGCCGGGTTTGTAGGGCCAGGATCCCCCCAGGGGACGGGATGGGGACGGGATCCCCCCCAGGGGACGGGATCGGGACAGGACCCCCCAGGGGATGGATTGGGGCAGGAACCCCTGGGAACCCCCAAGGGCTGGGACCCCCCCAGGGGACGGGATGGGGACGGGATCCCCCCAGGGGATGGGATGGGGTCGGGATCCCCCCCCCCAGGGGACGGGATCGGGACAGGACCCCCCAGGGGATGGATTGGGGCAGGAACCCCTGGGAACCCCCAAGGGCTGGGACCCCCCCAGGGGACGGGATGGGGACGGGATCCCCCCAGGGGACGGGGTGGGGACGGGACCCCCCAGGGGACGGGGTGGGGTCGGACACCGGCTGCGTCTCTCCTGCCCAGGATGGGAACGTCCAGTGCCTCCGACTCGTCTGCCCGCAGCTCCACTGCGCCACCCAGGAGGAGCTGCCCGGGGCCTGCTGCCCCCACTGCCAGGGTAAGCCTGGGGGGGCACCGTTGGGTGAGTGGAGGGAGGGGAGGCAGGGGACAATGTGGGGGAAGGGGGGTGCTGGGGGGGGCAGGATCAGGCCCTTTTAACAGGAGACAAGAACCTTCCACTGCAGGAGACGTCCCAGCCCTGCCGGTGCCCCTCACTCCTGACCCGCAGCCCCCTGGTATCCCCATCCTGGGCTCACCCCCCCCGCCCCGCAGCCCTGCCGGTGCCCCTCACTCCTGACCCACAGCCCCCTGCTATCCCCATCCTGGGCTCCGCCCCCGCAGCTCTGCTGGTGCCCCTCACTCCCGACCTGCAGCCCCCTGCTATCCCCATCCTGGGCTCCCCCAGCCCCCCGCAGCCCTGCTGGTGCCCCTCACTCCCGACCTGCAGCCCCCTGGTATCCCCATCCTGGGCTCCCCCAGCCCCCCGCAGCCCTGCTGGTGCCCCTCACTCCCGACCTGCAGCCCCCTGGTATCCCCATCCTGGGCTCACCCCCCCCCTGCCCCGCAGCCCTGCCGGTGCCCCTCACTCCTGACCCACAGCCCCCTGCTATCCCCATCCTGGGCTCTGCCCCCGCAGCTCTGCTGGTGCCCCTCACTCCCGACCTGCAGCCCCCTGGTATCCCCATCCTGGGCTCCGCCCCCGCAGCCCTGCTGGTGCCCCTCACTCCCGACCTGCAGCCCCCTGCTATCCCCATCCTGGGCTCCCCCAGCCCCCCGCAGCCCTGCTGGTGCCCCTCACTCCCGACCTGCAGCCCCGCTCTCCCTGCCCCTGCTAGCCGTGGCCTGGGCTCAGTGATAGCCGGGGGGCCAGGGGCCCGATTGATGCCGGTTCTCTCCCACCCAGGCTGTGTGGACGGAGCCGCCCAGCGGGCGCATGGTGAGGAGTGGGCGCCACGCGCAGACCCCTGCCAGAGCTGCCGCTGCTTGGTAAGGCCACGCCCCCCCGTGTCACTGGGCAGGGCCTGGGGGCCCCCATCCCCACTGGCCCCAGGCCTGAGGGCACCCCCTGCCGGCGCTCCCCGCTGCCCAGGGCAGAGCTCTATTCCCAGGCTCCGCCCCCAGCCCAGCCCAGGCTCCGCCCCGCCCGTTATTTGGCTGGACCCTTTCCAGGGGGGCCCTGGGTCTGTCTGGGGGTCTGGGTGGGGTGGGAACGCCCTGGGATGGGAGCTGCTGGCCTGTGAGTGGCCCCCGGAGGCCCTGACATCTCTGGCTTCAAGACTAAGCTCGTTAAGTTTGTGGAGGGGGTGGTACGATGGGCAAGTCACTGATCTTCGACTACTAGCGGTAGACGTGCCCAATGGCCTGTGGTGGGGTGCCAGATGGGGTGGGATCTGGGTTACGACGGCGAATCCTTTCCTGGGGGTCTGGCTGGGGAGTCTTGCCCACGTGCTCAGGGATCAGCTGATGGCCATATTTGGGGTCGGGAAGGCATTTTCCTCCAGGGCAGACTGGCAGCGGCCCTGGGGGCTTTCGCCTTCCCCTGCAGCGTCGGGCGCGGGATTCTCTGCACCCCGAAGTCTTTAAACCCCGAGTTGAGGACTGGGACAGCCCAGACGTGGGTCCGGGGTCTGTGACAGGAGGGGGCGGGTGAGGTTCCATGGCCTGCGATGTGCAGGAGGTCGGACGAGACGATCCTAATGGTCCCTTAAAATCTGTGAGTCTATGACCCCCCTGCCCCCCCCACAGGAGGGCCGCGCCGTGTGCAGGAAGAGGCAATGTGCCAGGCTGTGCCGCCACCCTGCCAGCCCCCGGCCGGGCACCTGCTGCCCTGTCTGCGACGGTGAGTGAGGGGCTTCTCGCGGGGGGTGGGAGCTGTGCTCCCTGGGGCCGTGGGGGGGCAGGGCGGGGTCGATGGGGAAGTGGGTCTGTCCCACTGGGCCGCTGGGCCCCCCCCTCATTGCTGGATGGCTGGTCTTATTGGGCCCAGGCCAGGTAATGCCAGGGTCAGTGCCCCCCTCCCAGCCCTGGGGCGCGGGCTCCGTGGTCCCTGCATAGGGCCTGCCAGTGAGGGCCCAGCTGGTGCCAGGCGGGGCGGGGGGTGAGGTGGGCACTGGGCTGAGGCCCAGAAAACTTATTGCATGCTCTGGCTGTGGGGCCGGCCCAGTGCCCTCGGGAGGAGGCCACCTGGGTGCCCGTCCCACCCTGCCAGGGGGCTGGTGCTGGGCTGGGGGCTGCGGCTGTGTCCAGGGGTGGGGAACGGGGGGGCGCGCCCTCAGGATGCATTGCCCTCTCTCCCTGCAGGCTGCTCGTTGGATGGCCGGGAGTTTGCCAGCGGGGAGCCGGTGCCCAGCGGGGAGCCCTGCACCCAGTGTGCTTGCACGGTGCGTGCTCCGGACGGGGGCAGCCTGGCACTGCCCGTCTGCACACCAGAGGGGCTGGGGCCTGTCTCCCCCGGGCACCCCCGGGGAGGGGCTGGCCGGTGTCCCGGCGTCCCCGGGGCGATGCTCTGGGGCTGCTCCCTATGACCCAGCCAGGACTCTGGGGAAGCCTCCTCCGGGGAGCAGCCTGTCCGCAGGGCAAGAAGTTTCCCCAGCTTCCCCCTTCCTGGGCCTGACCCCGGGGCATTCAGTCTCCTCTGCCCCACTGTGCGCTTCCCGCAGCGAGTCCGGGCCCCGGGGGCAGCCAGAGGGCCCTGCCCCCCAACCCCGCAGTCAGCCGGGTTATTAGTCGACGGGAACACGGCGCAGGGCAAAGCCAGGGCTCTGGTCCTCCCCCTGCGCCCCAAGCCAGCCGAGACTCACTCGCTTCCAGCCCCCCGGCCCCTGCCCTGCCCATTGCTCCTCCTCCGGCCTTTGTCTCGCTTCCCGGGCCAAGCCCCCTCCTGGGTCTCCAGTTAGGAAGAGGCGGCCAGAGCATCCCTGCAGGCAGCTGGAGCAACCCCCGCAAAGGTCACACACCCTTATTCCCACCACCTAGACATTGGTGCGACACACGGGGAAACTGAGGCACGCACAGCATTCATGCAAAACAGTAAGACTCACATACAACATAACAAGGGAAAATCCCCACTTTGTACATCGGGGGCCCCAGAGGGCTGGGGGCCCCTGCTGCTCCGTTGGGCGGGGGGCTGGGCCGGGGCTGGCAGGGGCTCCTGGGTGGCAGGGCTGGGAGGGTCTCAAGGCAGCATATGGGGCTGGGCCCTGGGGCTCCCCCAGACCAGGGCGGGTGGGGGGGCAGGCTGGGGCAGCGACTGCTAAAGTGGGGGGCACATGTGTCGTGCAGAGAGGGAATGTGTTGTGCAAACCCACCGCCTGCCCGCCTGCCCCCTGCCCGGAGCCCGTCCTGAGACCCGGCGAGTGCTGCCCGCGGTGAGTGGGGCTGGGGGGGGGGCACTGCCCACCGTGAGTGGGGCTGGGGGGGGCACTGCTCACGGTGACTGAGGCGGGGGGCTGGTAAGGGGGAACACTGCTTGGAGCGGGTGGGGGGCCTGGGCAGGTAGCCAGGGGGAGGAGAGGGCTCGGGGAGTTCAGGGGGCCTGTTTGCAGCGGGGGGCTGGGGGGCACCCGTGGCATCGCTGCCCTACGGCCGCGATGCCAGGGGCCGGGTGCCCTGGCTGCACCCCCACTGCTCACCTCGCCCTAGGTGCCAGGACTGCCTCTACGATGCCCAGCCCTTCCCGGACGGCGCCACCTTCACCCCCCGCAGCAGCCCTGCTTGAGCTGCCGCTGCCAGGTGAGCCGGGCACAGGGGCAGGTGCCCGTGGGGTTAGCGCCCCCGGGAGCCCTCTCCATGGGCCATGCAGACGGCACAGCCCCTGCCCAAGGGATGCCAGTGCCCCGGGCGGGCCGCTGGCCTGGCAGCCTCACCACGGGCGCCCCCTGCTCCTGCCCCGCTCTCCCCATGCATGCTGCAGAGCACCGGAGGCCTGACAGTGCCAGGCCTGCCCTGGCCAGGGTCGGCAGCAGGCGGGGCAGCAAGCACGGGCTGCGGGGGGGCCAGGGCACGGGCTGCGGGGGGGCCAGGGCACTGGCTGCGGGGGGACCAGGGCACTGGCTGCGGGGGGGCCGGGGCACGGGCTGCGGGGGGGCCGGGCGGCTGGGCATGGGGCTGTGCCATGCTGGCGGAGGCTCTGTGCCAGCGGGCGGGAGCGGGGGCCCCTCACCGATGCCCGGCTGTGCTCTGGCTCGTGCCCGCAGGCCGGGGAGGTGTCGTGTGAACGCCTGGAGAAGAGCTGCCCACCCGTGCCCTGCAGCCACCCTGGCACTGCCCAGGGCCAGTGCTGCCCAGCCTGCCATGGTGAGTAGCTGGCGGGGTGAGGGGAGGGCTGGGGGGAGGGACCAGCAAGGGGCCTCCGGAGCTGCTGGCCCCACGGAGAGCCCCTAGCCCTGGCAGCAGGGCATGGGGGCGGGAGGGTGCCCCCAGGGCCTCCAGCAGAGCCAGCTCCTCCCCTGCATCCCCCGGCACAGGGCCTGGCGAAACGGGGCACAAGAACCCCCCAGGTTACGGGCTGGGCCGGCCTCCAGCGTTGCCCAAGCAGGTCTGGGCGTCCCTCCTGCTGGGTTCTGGGCAGGGCTGGTGCTTCCCTGTGCCCGTCCCGCTCGGCTGCGCTGGGAGGGGGGCCCATGGGGCCCGACCCATCCAGACCCCTGCCAGACCCCCCGGGCCACTGGGCGGTCAGAGCCAGGACTCTGAGCAGGTGGGGGGAGTTTGAGGAGCTGGGGTCTCTGAAAGGGGGGGGGGTCTCCGAGGTCTCTGAGCAGGGTGGGGGGCGGTAGAGGCTCTCTGGGGGCGCTGGGGTCTCTGAGCCGGCCTGGGGGGTTCCGGGGGTTCAGCTGGCGGCTGGGGCTGGCAGGCTGCCCCCCGTGCGGGGCTGTTCACCCGTCTCTCTCCGCGGGCAGCGTGTGAGTACGAGGGGCACCCCTACCGCCACGGAGAGACCTTCACGCCCCCGGGCCGCGGGCCCTGCGTGCAGTGCACCTGTGCGGTGAGTGACCCGGGGGACACCTGGGACGGTCACACGTGGTTTGGGGGGGCCGGGGGGGGGCTCACCTCCACGTAACCAGCCCCTTCCTGTGCCCAGAGGTGCCCAGCCATGCGGGCACAGGGAGAAGGGGACGTGGGTCCCTGGCACCGAGCTAGGGCAGAGCAACAGAGGCCTGGGGGGTTGCTGGGCTGGGGGCGGGCGGCACTGGGGCGGGGCAGCCCCGCCGAGGGGTGCCAAGGCTGGGCTGTGCGGGGACACCGGCGCGCCCGGGTCTGTGCCCGCCCATCACTGACACCGGCTCTCTTCCGCAGGCTGGGCACGTGCAGTGCCAGGAAGAGAGGTGCCCCCCCATGTCCTGCGCCCAGCCCGTCCGGGACCCCCAGCGCTGCTGCCCCCTCTGCAAAGGTTGAGTAACGCCCGGTTCTGGGCCAGCCCCGGCCCGACGGCGCCCGCGTGCGGCACCGATGCCCTCTGCGCGGGCCGGGGACGTCGCCGGGGCGGGGCGCTGGGTGCTGCTGGCCCGTGGCATTGACTGGGCTCGCCAGCCCTGGGGCAGCCCCCGGCCGGGCAGGGAAGGCTGCTCGCTCCCTGAGAACAGACTCGCCCCACACCTGAGAGCAGGGCCCGGAGCTGGGGGCTGGGAGGGCAGGGCCCCGGGGGGGGAGCTGGGGGGCTGGGAGGGCCCAGGGGAAGGAGGGGTGAGCCGTCTGGGGGTCCCCGGGGGCTGTGGCAGGGAGGCCCCCCCCTCACGGCCTGCATCCCCCAGGGTGTGTGCTGGCCGACGAGGAGTTCGAGGAGGGGGCGCAGTGGAAGCCGGACGGGGACCCCTGCACCACCTGCACCTGCCTCGCCGGAGAGCCCGTCTGCGGGGCCCTGCCGTGCCCGCCCCCCGCCTGCCAGCACCCCGCCCGCCTGAGCGGTGAGTGCCCCTCCCCCTGACCCCCCCCACACTGCCCCCTGCTCCCGCCCCTCGCCTGCCAGCACCCCGCCCGGCTGAGCGGTGAGTGCCCCTCCCCCCCGACCCACCCCCCACACTGCCCCCTGCTCCCGCCCCTCGCCTGCCAGCACCCCGCCCGGCTGAGCGGTGAGTGCCCCGACCCCCCCCCACACACTGCCCCCTGCTCCCGCCCCCCGCCTGCCAGCACCCCGCCCGGCTGAGCGGTGAGTGCCCCTCCCCCCCGACCCCCCCCCACACTGCCCCCTGCTCCCGCCCCTCGCCTGCCAGCACCCCGCCCGGCTGAGCGGTGAGTGCCCCTCCCCCCCGACCCACCCCCACACTGCCCCCTGCTCCCGCCCTCCTGAGTGGTGAGTGCCCTTCCCCGCACTGACCTCCCCCACTGCCCCCATCCCTCACTTCCCCCCACTCCACCCAGCTCAATTGTGGGTGCCCACCTGGCCACACCCCCTCCGCTCTGTGGTCCCCCCCAATGCGGTGGTGGCTGCTCAGTGCCCGGTACAGTCCATGCCCCCCCCCAGCCCTGGCTCCGCACCCCTGAGCTCCGGGGGTCTGCGTGGCACCGGGCCCATGGCAGACACTGGGCGCCGTGGGTCCATCCAGCGGGGGCAGCCCGTAGAGCCGGCCGGGCACCGGGAGTGACCCCTCAGTGCCTCCTGCTGGCCCAGGCCCCGCCTGCCCTGGGGCTGGGCCGTGGGGCGGGTGGCCACGGGCCGATCGGGGCGCCCCGCTGTGCTAACCCGCCTGCTGTCTCCTCGGCCAGGGGACTGCTGCCCGACCTGTGCCCAGTGCTCCTACAACCAGCACCTCTACGCCAACGGGCAGGCCTTCGCCGACCCGCACAGCCCCTGCCAGCGCTGCCAGTGTTTGGTGAGGGGGCCGGCCCGCGGGGCACCGCGGCGGGCGGCCAACCGGGGCCTCTGTGCCCCCGGAGCCGCCCCTCCCCGCTGGGGGGCAGTGGGGACGCTCTCCCCGGTTGCCAGGGTTATGGTGCCGGACCTCCCAGTCCTCTCTAGGGTGTGGGCACGGGGCTGCCCCCGGGTCCCGCCTGGGGTGCCGGCACAGACCCCCCCCAGTGCCGGGCTGCATCCGCATGCCCCCATGGTGGGTTGCCCTGCGGCTCTCCCCAAGGGTACCTGTGCCTAGGGTAAGGAGCCCAGCGGGGGGCTGGAACTAATGGGGCAGGGTCTGAGCCATGCTCAGCCTGGGGGTCCCATGGGGTGGGGCAGGGGAGGCTGGGAGCTCAAGCCCTGGGGGGATCTGGGGTCAGGGGCAGAGCAGGCTGGGGGCCCCATGGGGGGTGGGTTGGGGGAGGCTGGGAGAGCAGGCCCTGGGGGGATCCAGGGTCTGAGGCAGAGCAGGCTGGGGGGCGGGGGGGCCCCACGGGGTGGGTCGGGGGGCTGGGAGTGCAGACCCGGGGGAGGATCCGGGGTCGGGGGGCAGAGCAGGGTGGGGGTGGGCCTGGAGGCCCCACGGGGTGGGTCGCGGGGGGCTGGGAGTGCAGGCCCGGGGAGGATCTGGGGTTGGGGGCAGAGCAGGGTGGGGGTGGGCGCGCAGGCCTTGGGGGGGATCCGGGGTCGGGGGGCAGAGGAGGGTGGGGGGTGGGCCCGGAGGCCCTGCGGGGGGGGGTCGGGGGGGGGCTGGGCGCGCAGGCCTTGGGGGGATCCGGGGGTTGGGGGCAGAGCGGGGGGGGCTGGGAGCACAGGCCTTGGGGGGGATCCGGGGTTGGGGGCAGAGCAGGGTGGGGGTGGGCCCGGAGGCCCCGTGGGGTGGGTCGGGGGGGGCTGGGCGCGCAGGCCTTGGGGGGATCCGGGGTTGGGGGCAGAGCAGGGTGGGGGTGGTCCCGGAGGCCCTGCGGGGTGGGTCGGGGGGGGGGGGGCTGGGCGCGCAGGCCTTGGGGGGGATCCGGGGTTGGGGGCAGAGCAGGGTGGGGGGTGGGCCCGGAGGCCCCGCGGGGTGGGTCGGGGGGCTGGGAGCGCAGGCCCTGGGAGGATCCGGGGTTGGGGGCAGAGCAGGGTGGGGGTGGGCCCGGAGGCCCCGCGGGGTGGGTCGGGGGGGGGCTGGGCGCGCAGGCCTTGGCGGGATCCGGGGTTGGGGGCAGAGCAGGGTGGGGGTGGGCCCGGAGGCCCCGCGGGGTGGGTCGGGGGGCTCTCGGGAGCGGCCGGTGACCTGCCCCCTGCCCGCAGGACGGGACCGTGCAGTGCTCGCCCGTCGCCTGCCCCCCGCCCAGCTGCCCCCGCCCGGAGAGCCAGCCTGGCCAGTGCTGCCCCACATGTCGGGGTGAGTGTGCCGCTGAGGGGCTGGGCGCTCCTGGGTTCCCCACCCAGCTCTGCCGGTGAGGCCCTGCCCCAAACGGGGGTGATGACGCTGAGCCCCCCCCGCCCCGCCTCCCCATATCCCCCCATGGGACTCGGCTGCCCCTTGCAGAGGCAGTGAGTGGCCCCCAGAGGGCACTGTGACCCCGGGGCGCTGCCCTGGGGCAGACGTGCGATGCCCCCGATGCCCCCGATGCCCCCGTCCATCGCCGGACCGGCCAAGCGGACCTGGGGGGAGGGGCCCAGGGCTGGCGGCCCCCTCGGGGCTCCCTGGGGGCACAGGAGGCAGGGGCACCTCCTCAGGGGCTGCAAACGGGGTGGGCTGGGGTGAGGGAGCCAACCCTGGGGGGCTGGGCCTGAGGCCCCGTCACACTGAGCAGCTGGCTGATCCCAGCTGGGGGGAGAGGGGGCACAGGGCAGGGCTAGGGGGCAGGACAGGTTAGGCTGGGGGGCAGGATGGGTGGGGCTGGGTGGGTCAGGGCAGGGGTGGTGGCAGGATGGGAGGGAGGGCATAGGGCTGGGGGGCAGGGCAGGGAGGGGGGCAAGATGGGAGGGGGGCACAGGGTGGGGCCGGGCTGGGGGGCAGGACAGGGTGGGGGTCGGTGGTCGCTGACATCTGCCCCCCCCAGGCTGCAGCGTGGAGGGGGGCGCGGTGGAGGCGGGCGAGCGGTTCCCCAGCCCGCGGGACCCCTGCCAGCTGTGTGTCTGCACCGACGGGATCGTCAGCTGCTCGGCGCGGGATTGCCCCGGTGCCCTGTGTGCCCGCCCGCTGCCCGGCTCCTGCTGCCCGAACAACTGCAACGGTGACCCCCCGACCCCTGCCCGCGGGGGCCACGAGCCGGTCCCCCTGCCCCCTGCCCGTGCCCGGTCTCCCACTACCCCGACCCCTGCCCGCGGGGGCCACGAGCCGGTCCCCCTCCCCCCTGCCCGTGCCCGGTCTCCCACTACCCCGACCCCTGCCCGCGGGGGCCACGAGCCGGTCCCCCTGCCCCCTGCCCGTGCCCGGTCTCCCACTACCCCGACCCCTGCCCGCGGGGGCCACGAGCCGGTCCCCCTGCCCCCTGCCCGTGCCCGGTCTCCCACTACCCCGACCCCTGCCCGCGGGGGCCACGAGCCGGTCCCCCTGCCCCCTGCCCGTGCCCGGTCTCCCATTACCCCGACCCCCTGCCCGCGGGGGCCACGAGCCGGTCCCCCTCCCCTCTGCCCGTGCCCGGTCTCCCACTACCCCGACCCCTGCCCGCGGGGGCCACGAGCCGGTCCCCCTCCCCCCTGCCCGTGCCCGGTCTCCCACTACCCCGACCCCTGCCCGCGGGGGCCACGAGCCGGTCCCCCTCCCCCCTGCCCGTGCCCGGTCTCCCACTACCCCGACCCCTGCCCGCGGGGGCCACGAGCCGGTCCCCCTGCCCCCTGCCCGTGCCCGGTCTCCCACTACCCCGACCCCCTGCCCGCGGGGGCCACGAGCCGGTCCCCCTCCCCTCTGCCCGTGCCCGGTCTCCCACTACCCCGACCCCTGCCCGCGGGGGCCACGAGCCGGTCCCCCTCCCCTCTGCCCGTGCCCGGTCTCCCACTACCCTGACCCCTGCCCGCGGGGGCCACGAGCCGGTCCCCCTCCCCTCTGCCCGTGCCCGGTCTCCCACTACCCCGACCCCTGCCCGCGGGGGCCACGAGCCGGTCCCCCTGCCCCCTGCCCGTGCCCGGTCTCCCACTACCCCGACCCCTGCCCGCGGGGGCCACGAGCCGGTCCCCTCCGCCCTGCCCGTGCCCGGTCTCCCACTACCTCGACCCCTGCCCGCGGGGGCCACGAGCCGGTCCCCCTCCCCCCCTGCCCGTGCCCGGTCTCCCACTACCCCGACCCTCTGCCCGCGGGGGCCACGAGCCGGTCCCCCTCCCCCCTGCCCGTGCCCGGTCTCCCACTACCCCGACCCCTGCCCGTGGGGGCCACGAGCCGGTCCCCCTGCCCCCTGCCCGTGCCCGGTCTCCCACTACCCCGACCCCCTGCCCGCGGGGGCCACGAGCCGGTCCCTCTGCCCGTGCCCGGTCTCCCACTACCCCGACCCCTGCCCGCGGGGGCCACGAGCCGGTCCCCCTCCCCCCTGCCCGTGCCCGGTCTCCCACTACCCCGACCCTCTGCCCGTGGGGGCCACGGGCCAGTCCCCCCAACCCTGGACCCCTGCCCGTGGGGTCCACGGGCCAGTCCCCCCGACCCCGATCCCCCGACCACGGGGGACCCCACTGGGCTAGTTTCCCCAGCCCCAGTGGACACGGCTTTGTTGGGGCTGGGGGCGGATCGGGCGCTGCTGCACTGGGCCCCGACCCACTGGACGGGGCCTGGGCGGCACCTCAGGGGCCCTCGCTGTCTGCCCCATCCTCCCAGCATGCATTGCAGAGGCGGGGTCCCCTCCGTTAGCCCCCCCGTGTCCCCTCTCCGTCTGCCCTAGGCTGCAGCTACGGGGGGAAAGAGTACCCCAACGGAGCCGAGTTCCCGCACCCCACGGACCGCTGCAAGCAATGCCACTGCCTCGTAAGTGCCGGGGGGCGAGCGGGGCCCCTGGCCCGAGGGTGGTTCAGCGTGGCCTACTGGACACCTGGGTCCCAGCCCGGGCTCTGCTGCTGCCTTGCTGGGGGAAGCTGGGCCGGTTGCGTCTCGTTAGCCCATGGCAGGGGGACCGATCGTGCAGCCAGCGCCCCCGCCGGCCCCGCTCTGCCTGCTCCCCGCGTTACAAGTGGGGAAACTGAGGCACAGAGCAGGCAAGCACGGCAGAGCTGAGACTAGAGCCCAGGGCTCCAGTCCAATGGCTGAGCCACTGCCCCCGAGGGAGGGACGCATTTAACCCCGTCCCGGCCACAGCGAGGGGCCGGGGCGTCACAGTGGACGGTGGTTTTCACGCTGTGCTGGGTGGGGTTGAGGGCGGGGCTGGAGGGCGGAGGCTGGGGGCACAGTCTGGGGCGGGGGTCACGGGATGGGTGGGATGCTGAGCTGGGGCACAGGGTGGGGTGGGGGCTGGGAGGCAGGACTCCTGGGTTCTCTCCCCGGCAGTGCCCGGCTGGCTCTGACCTGCCTCTCCCCCCTGCAGAACGGCCATGTGCACTGTCTGTTGCGACGCTGCCCGCCCCTGCCCTGCGCGGAGCCCTTCCTGGTGCCCGGCGGGTGCTGTCCCCAGTGCCCAGGTAGGCCAGCGCGCGGGGCAGTGGTCTGGGGGGGTCACGGCCCCTTCGCAGCTGCCCCCCATCTGTCTGGGGGCGGGGGGGGCTGGGAGGCACCATGGGGCTGTTTGCTGGCAGGGCCGAGCTGAGCCCAGCCCATCTGGGCTCCCGGGAGGTGCCCCCCAGCACTGACCCCACAAGCTAAACCCTCTGCCGCCTTGAAACCCGCCCCTGCCATGGCCAAGGGCAGGGAGCGCCTGGGGGAGTCGGGCACTCTGTCCCCGGCGCCCCCCTCAACCGCCCCTGTCTCCTCCCAGAGCCCCCGGCGGGCTGCCTCTCCGCGGGCATCTCCTACCAGCCCATGCAGCGATTCTACGACCCCTCGGACGCCTGCCGCCTCTGCATCTGTGCCAACGGGACCGTCACCTGCCAGCACCAGCCTTGCGCCCCCGCCCTCTGCGCCCACCCCCTGCGGCGGGACTGCTGCCACTCCTGTGACGGTACCCCCCAACCCCCTGAGCCCCCCACTGGGCCTCACTGGGCTCCCCGGTCCCGCTGAGCCCCCCACTGGGCACCCCGCGGGCCACACTGGGCCCCCCGGTCCCGCTGAGCCCCCCACTGGGCACCCCGCGGGCCTCACTGGGCCCCCGGTCCCGCTGAGCCCCCCACTGGGCACCCTGCGGGCCACACTGGGCTCCCCGGTCCCGCTGAGCCCCCCACTGGGCACCCCGCGGGCCACACTGGGCCCCCCGGTCCCGCTGAGCCCCCCACTGGGCACCCCGCGGGCCTCACTGGGCCCCCCGGTCCCGCTGAGCCCCCCACTGGGCACCCCGCGGGCCACACTGGGCCCCCCGGTCCCGCTGAGCCCCCCACTGGGCACCCCGCGGGCCACACTGGGCCCCCCGGTCCCGCTGAGCCCCCCACTGGGCACCCCGCGGGCCTCACTGGGCCCCCTGGTCCCGCTGAGCCCCCCACTGGGCACCCCGCGGGCCACACTGGGCCCCCCGGTCCCGCTGAGCCCCCCACTGGGCACCCCGCGGGCCTCACTGGGCCCCCCGGTCCCGCTGAGCCCCCCACTGGGCACCCCGCGGGCCACACTGGGCCCCCCGGTCCCGCTGAGCCCCCCACTGGGCACCCCGCGGGCCTCACTGGGCCCCCTGGTCCCGCTGAGCCCCCCACTGGGCACCCCACGGGCCTCACTGGGCCTCCTGAGGCCCCTGATGGACTCCCGAGCCCCTATGTTCTGCACCCACCCCCTGCTGCTGCTCCTGTGATGGTACCCCCTGTTGGGTCCCCAGAACCCCCTCCCTGGGCCTCCCCAGCCCCCCTCAGCCTCTCGAATCCCACCTGGGTCCACTAAGCATTCCCCCCCAGTACTCCTGGGCTTTGCACGTACCCTCACAGCAGGGCTGCTGCCATTTCTGTGACGATACCCCTTGGGCCCCCCAGCCCCCCGCTGGGTCCCCTGAAACCACCCAGTGACCTGGGCCCCCAAACCCCCCGCTGCACCCCCAGCCCCTCTGCAGCAGGAACACTTCCCCCTAGCCCCCGGCTCTGCTCCTGCCCCACTCTTGTGCCCAGTGCCATCATCCGCTCTGCCCCCAGGCTGCCTGTACCAGGGAAAGGAGCTGCCCAACGGGGAGCAGTTCCCGGACCCCGCGGAGCCGTGCCACGTCTGCACCTGCTGGGAGGGCAGCGTCTCCTGCCAGCCCAGGGCCTGCCCGCTGCTCCAGTGCCCCTTTCCTGCCCGGGGGCCGTGCTGCCAGGTCTGCGAAGGTGGGTTGGGCATGGGGTGCGGGCGGAGGCCGGGCTGGGCTAGCCCAGGGGGCTGCTGGGCTCCACCAGTTGGGGCGCCAGGGTTGGGGGGTGGGTCAGCCCATGGGGGGTGTCTTGGGCCCTGGCCTCCTCTGCAGTGCCTGGCACCAGGCTCACTCTGTCCGGCCCCCACAGGCTGCGAGTACTTGGGCGAGGGTTACCTCGATGGCCAGGAGTTCCCGGACCCCCAGGACGCCTGCGGCCGCTGTGCATGCCTCCACGGCTTCGTCACCTGCACCAAAACGCCCTGCGACCCGCCAGGCTGCCGCCACCCCGCCAGCCCCCCAGGCCGGTGCTGCCCCGTGTGCCAGGGTAAGTGGGGCTCGGCGGAGGGTGGGCACCGCGTGGCATGGCCACTCTCCGCCACCACCAGGCATGGCTGGGGAACCTCAGGCCTTGTTAAAATGAAGGGGTATGGCCAGTGCCCCCCAGCCCCGCTGGTGCCCCTCATCCCTGACCCACAGCCCCCTGCTAGCCCAGCCCTGGGCTCCCCCTGGTGCCCCTCAATCTCAATCTGCAGCCCCCTGCTGTCCTAGCTCTGCCCCTCCCAGCCCCACTGGTGCCCCTGACCCACAGCTCCCTGCTAGCCCAACCCAGCTCTGTCCCTCCCCAACCCCACTGGTGCCCCTCACGCCCGACCTGCAGCCCCCTTCTAGCCCAGCTCTGGGCAGAGCCAGGGGGCAGGGTGGAGCCAATCGATGGCTCCAGCATTTCTGTTCCTCACGGGCACCGCAGGCAGGCCTGGGCGGGGTACCGATGGGTTGAGCTGGTTTAGCCATTCCCAGTGCCCACGACAGACCCAGGTGCCAGGGGAGGGGAGGGTGGTCCAGTGGTTAGGGCGCTCGCGTGGGGAGGAGGAGGCAGGTTTTGCTGCCGACGCCCTGCTTGACCCTGGGCAGGTTCTGGGCCTCAACCTCCGTCCGGCCTGGCCAGCGTGACGCCAGCCCAGCCTGCCCCACCCGGAGCGGAGCCTGAGGCCATGCCAGCCTGGCCTTGCCCCCGGAGCGGTGCCTATGGCGAGAGCAGGCCCAGGCCTGGTCTGTGGGCGTTGCTGGCTCCACGGCGGGACGGTGCTGGACGTGGGGCTGGGTGCAGGATCGGGGCCAGATCTCCCAAGTGCTGGAGGGGGCTTGGGATTGGTGGGTGCTGGAGGGGGGACACCTGGGATGTAGGGGGCTGGTTCTCCCCTGCTCTCAATGTCTTTCCTCCCCTCCGGTGCCAGGCTGCCACTTCCAGGGCCAGGACCTCGCGGACGGAGAGACCTTCCCGGCCCCCGGCGGGCGCTGCGAGCAGTGTCGCTGCCTGGTACGTGCCCGGGGGGGCATGGCCGGCCCTGTGGGGAGAGGGCTGGGCACAGCCCCAGGGGGCACAGGGAGCCGAGCTGGCACAGGGCTAGGGTTGTGCCAGGGGGATGGAGCCCAAGGGGAGCGGGGGCGCTGGGGGGCTCAGCATGGCTGGGGGCCTGCCCTGCTCACCCCCGTTCCCTGCCCTCTTGCAGCGGGGAGAGGTGTCCTGCGGGCCCCTGCCCTGCCCTGGGGTGACGTGTCCCCACCCGGCCATGGGCCCCTGCGACTGCCCCGTGTGTGACGGCTGCAGCTTCCATGGGCGAGCGTGCAGCAACGGGGAGCGCTTCCCCGACCCTCACGACGCCTGCCAGCTCTGCTCCTGCCTGGTGAGTGTCCACCCCCGAAAAGCAGCCAGCTCTGGGGAGGGGCCCCGCTGCAAACAGCACCCCACGGTGCTGGGGACGGGGGTCACAGTCCTGGGGCCAGCTGCCTCTGCAGGGGACACCCCGGGGCCTGGCCCGGGACAGCGGGCAGGGCCTGGGCCAGGAGCCAGCAGGCCGGTAACAGCTGCAGATGGGTGGAACCGTGGGCTTAGCTCAAGCAGTTTCTCCCACGGGACCGTGCCCAGTCGTGCCGCCCTGGGGCCAGCGCTGAGTGCCAGGGGAGGTGCCCCTGCAGATCTAGCCCCTCCCCGCAGATTTCCCAGTGCTGGCCTGGCCCTGCCTCCGGGCACCGCGGGGGCTGGCGGCCCCAGGGACGGGGTGCTGGCTCTGGGGGGGGGGCTTTCGGTCCCTTGCCTGCCCAGGGCAGGAGCCCGGCCAGGTGTGATGCCAGCGGCTCTTGCCCCGCAGGATGGCAGCGTGACGTGTGTGCCCGCGCCGTGCTCCCCCGCCCCCTGCCGGAACCCGGTCGCCCTGCCCGGCCAATGCTGCCCACAGTGCTCCGGTTCCTGCCGCTACCAGGGCCACCTCTACGAGAGCGGGGCCCCCTTCCGCCCCCCGGGGGGGGACCCCTGCTCCACCTGCACCTGCCTGGTGAGCGAGCCGGCCCGCAGTGCCCCCCTGCTCCGCCCGAGCCCCCCGACCTCCACCCCCTTCCCCCTCTGACCCCCACCGTGCTGGGCCCAGGTCCCCCCGACCTCCACCCCCTTCCCCCTCTTACCCCCACCCTGCTCCGCCCAGGTCACCCCGACCTCCACCCCCTTCCCCCTCTGACCCCCACCCTGCTCCGCCCAGGTCCCCCCGACCTCCACCCCGTTCCCCCTCTGACCCCCACCCTGCTCCGCCCAGGTCACCCCGACCTCCACCCCGTTCCCCCTCTGAGCCCCACCCTGCTCCGCCCAGGTAACCCCGACCTCCACCCCGTTCCCCCTCTGAGCCCCACCCTGCTCCGCCCAGATCACCCCGACCTCCACCCCGTTCCCCCTCTGACCCCCACCCTGCTCCGCCCAGATCACCCCGACCTCCACCCCGTTCCCCCTCTGATCCCCACCCTGCTCCGCCCAGATCACCCCGACCTCCACCCCGTTCCCCCTCTGATCCCCACCCTGCTCCGCCCAGATCACCCCGACCTCCACCCCCTTCCCCCTCTGACCCCCACCCTGCTGGGCCCAGGTCCCCCCGACCTCCACCCCCTTCCCCCTCTGACCCCCACCCTGCTGGGCCCAGGTCCCCCTGACCTCCACCCCCTTCCCCCTCTGACCCCCACCGTGCTGGGCCCAGGTCCCCCCCGACCTCCACCCCCGTTCCCCCCTCTTACCCCCACCCTGCTCCGCCCAGGTCCCCCCGACCTCCAACCCCTTCCCCCTCTGACCCCCACCGTGCTGGGCCCAGGTCCCCCCCGACCTCCACCCCGTTCCCCCTCTGACCCCCACCCTGCTCCGCCCAGGTCACCCCGACCTCCACCCCGTTCCCCCTCTGACCCCCACCGTGCTGGGCCCAGATCCCCCCCGACCTCCACCCCGTTCCCCCTCTGACCCCCACCGTGCTGGGCCCAGATCCCCCTGACCTCCACCCCGTTCCCCCTCTGACCCCCACCGGGCCTGGGCCCAGATCCCCCCGACACCCACCCCGTTCCCCCTCTGACCCCCACCCTGCTGGGCCCAGGTCCCCCCGACCTCCACCCCCTTCCCCCTCTGACCCCCCACCGTGCCGGGCCCAGGTCCCCCCGACACCCACCCCGTTCCCCCTCTAACCCCCACCGTGCTCCGCCCAGGTCCCCTCCAAAACCCGCCCAGTTCCCCCTCTGACCTCCACCCCGCTCTGCCCAGATCACCCCGACCTCCACCCCATTCCCACTCTGACCCACACCCCACTCCACCCAGATCCCCCCGACCTCCACCCCGTTCCCCAGGGAGCCGGGCACTAACATCGCATGGGCTGGGGCCGCCAGGTTCCTGGGGGGCTGGGGCGGGGACGGTGTGTGCAATGGGCCTGGGGCAATGCCTATGAGCACCAGCTAATTCTTTGCTCTGGGGAGAGCCCCCCATGGACCGTTCGCTGTGCCTCGGGTGTACTGGCCCCACCTGGGCATGTGTGGGTCCCACAGTGTGGGTCTCAGGATTTTATTGGTTTGCCACATTTTGCAAGTGTTTGTCAGAACCCCCAAAGCGGCGCTCTCCCGGGGCCTGGCGACAGGCCCCCCGGCTGGGGTGGGTTTGCTGGATATTTTTCACTCAGTGGCAGCTACCGGGGATTTGGTGTAAATTCTCCACCCAAACACCGCTGGTCAGCGAAGACACGGTCCGGACGAAGAGTGTCCGACCTTCGACCCTGGGTGCCGGCACCCGCCGCTGGGGCGAGAGCCCCATCTACCCACTCCACAGCCCTGATCTCCAGCCCCTGCTCGTGCTCCGGATGGCTTCCTGTCACGGAGTCCCTGGGCGATGCTCTGGAACTGCTCCCCATGAAGCCAGTCAGGACTCTGGGGCAGTCGCCTTTCTGTGAGCAGCCTGTCTTCAGGACACGCAGCTCACACAGCTTCCACCTTCCTGGGTCTGACCTCGGAGCATTCAGCCTCCTCTGCCCCTCCGTGCGCTTCCCCCAGCGAGTCCGCTCAGGCGGGGCTCCTGGGGAAGCCAGAGGGTCCTGCACCCCAACTTCGCAGTCAGACGTGACTCTCAGCCAGCCAGTAAAACAGAAGGTTTATTAGACGACAGGAACATGGTCTAACACAGAGCTTGCAGGTGCAGAGAACGGGACCCCTCAGCTGGGTCCATTCTGGGGGGCAGTGAGCCAGACAACCACGTCTGCACTTCACTCCATGTCCCAGCCAGCCCCAAACTGAAAACCCCCTCCAGCCCCTCCTCCTCTGGGCTTTGTTCCTTTCCCGGGCCAGGTGGTCACCTGATTCCTTTGTTCTCCAACCCTTTAGCTCTCACCTAGCAGGGGGGGGAAGGGCCCAGGCCATCAGTTGCCAGGAAACAGGGTGTCGGCCATTCTCTGTGTCCAGACTCCTGCACACACATGCCCTCTAGGGCTCTGCAATGATCATACACCCTTACCCCACCCCCTAGATACTTAAGAACTGCCTAGGGGAAACTGAGGCACCCCCCCAACTATTCAGAGGAAACATTAAGAACAGTCCCACTTCGTCACATCTCTCCCCCCTTCGAGATCGAACTGAGCGGGGTCACTTTAGCCAGTGACCTGGGGAAGTTCGAAGCCACCAACGTTCCCATGGATGCCCCAGCATCTCTCCCATTCCTTGGTAGGAGTTACACCAGGCCCTTCCAGTTTCACACCCTCCCTTAGGTCAGGGGTGGTCGATAGCACTCGCAGGCCGCATGTGGGAAGGTTTATGCAGCCCATGCCCTTTGGCCACCCCAAGAATGTCTCCCCATTGACCATCACCTTCTGCTCCCACTGGAGGTCCGAGGGGCCTGGCCCCCAGGAAACTCCACACAGACATATAGGTTGGGGTCAGGAGTGGGAGCCTGTCCACATCCCCAACCATCTGGCTGACGGTGTCTATGGCCTTGGGACCCAGCAAGGGAGCTAGACACCGGGGCTTTTCCGCAGGGTCCCCCTGGTTCAAATCGCCAGCCTGCTCAAAGGCAGTGAGGTGGGCATCCACACACCCCCCTCCTTAACCAGGGGCAGCAATTTAGTCTCGAGGTTCCCTGCGGAACTGGCCCCCCGGGATCTATCCCCACTCACCCCTGGGGGTCCCCTAGGCCTCTCCGCTCCCCCACCGCCAGTTCATGCTGCTGCTGCTTCTGCAGCTCTTTCTCGGGCTCTCGCTGTCTCCCACGGTCCTCTTGCTCTCTCAGACTCAGCTCCAATCCCGTCCGTCTCGATCCCCCGATGGGGAACCCGATCGTGAAGACCCCCGTCTGGTCGGGGACAGGAGTCTTGGCGATGCCTGGCTCCCGCTCCAGCTGCTCCCAGATCCTGCTATAGCCCCAGTTGGGGTCAGGAATCTGTTCCTTAGAGCGGTCATCCTCCTCCAGCTGCACGATTAACTCTGCTTTGGTGAACTTTCCAACGCTCAACCCTCTCTTTCTGCACAGGGTTACAATGTCCTTCTTAAGGAGACGGTGACAGGCCATCACTCCGCTCCTCCCAAGTTGTTGTGGACTCACAGGCCCGTGTGTTCTCAGCTCCCCACGGTTTCCAGGGAGAACCCCTAGTGTGCCAGCCCTTCTCGAGGTCACCACCTCTTTGCCAGGGTCGAGCTGCAGACTCCTCCACCCCTTGGACTGCTCGCTGCAATCCCCAGGGGAACCCTGTTACTGCACAGTCCTTCTCGCTGGTCACACACTCCCAGAGGTTAACCGCCCCCGAAACCGCTCCTCTCTGTGCCTTCAGCAGGCCTGGTCCTCGGCAATCCCCCTTCGTGTTACTGCTCCCCAGTCACTTACTGCAGGAAGCGCCATCCACGGGGTGCAGTACATCCCACCGCTGCCACCAGTTGTCACGGAGTCCCTGGGCGATGCTCTGGAACTGCTCCCCATGAAGCCAGTCAGGACTCTGGGGCAGTCGCCTTTCTGTGAGCAGCCTGTCTTCAGGACACACAGCTCATACAGCTTCCACCTTCCTGGGTCTGACCTCGGAGCATTCAGCCTCCTCTGCCCCTCCGTGCGCTTCCCCCAGCGAGTCCGCTCAGGCGGGGCTCCTGGGGAAGCCAGAGGGTCCTGCACCCCAACTCCGCAGTCAGACGTGACTCTCAGCCAGCCAGTAAAACAGAAGGTTTATTAGACGACAGGAACATGGTCTAACACAGAGCTTGCAGGTGCAGAGAACGGGACCCCTCAGCTGGGTCCATTCTGGGGGGCAGTGAGCCAGACAACCACGTCTGCACTTCACTCCATGTCCCAGCCAGCCCCAAACTGAAAACCCCCTCCAGCCCCTCCTCCTCTGGGCTTTGTTCCTTTCCCCGGGCCAGGTGGTCACCTGATTCCTTTGTTCTCCAACCCTTTAGCTCTCACCTTGCAGGGGGGAAGGGCCCAGGCCATCAGTTGCCAGGAAACAGGGTGTTGGCCATTCTCTGTGTCCAGACCCCTGCACACACCTGCCCTCTAGGGCTCTGCAATGATCATACACCCTTACCCCACCCCCTAGATACTTAAGAACTGCCTAGGGGAAACTGAGGCACCCCCCAACTATTCAGAGGAAACATTAAGAACAGTCCCACTTCGTCACACTTCCCTCCGGGTGGAGGGGGCGTATCCCAAGCCGGGGGTCCCCCCACACTGACGGCTTTGCCTTTCCCCTCTCAGGGCGGGGACGTGCTCTGCGTGATGGCCCCGTGCCCCCCGCTGACGTGCACCCACCAGGTGATAGAGCCCGGGGACTGCTGCCCCCGCTGCAAAGGTACGACCCACCCTGGCCGCTGCCCGCCCAATATCCCCCAGGGGACAGAGGGCCTATCCCTTTAAGAGAGGCGGGCCATCTACATAACTCCGCCCCAAACAAGTGGTCCATGTCAGTCAATAGTGACTCATTAGCATGTGGGGTCTGTGACCTCTGTTGGTCTATACTGGGCCGATAGTGCCCCCCCGAGTCAGGCAGCTGCAGGCTGTGGCCTTGCGTAGTGGGCACCCACGGGTCCATATCGACCTGTATGATGGACCGTGCAGAGAGCACAGGCATGACATTGGTGTGAGTCTGACCCGCTGCTCTCCCGCAGGCTGCATGTACGATGGGCAGGAGCACGCCGATGGCACCAGCTGGTTCTCCTCCCCCTGCGTGTCCTGCCTGTGCACCCACGGCATCGCCACCTGCGCCCAGATCCGCTGCCTCGGCTCCTGCCTCCAGCCCGTCCAGGTGCCCGGGGAATGCTGCCCACTGTGCGCAGGTGCGAGGGCGGGTGCGGCTCTGCCAGGCCCACACGGGGGCGGGGAAGGGAGCGGGCACAGGGGGCTCAGAGGTTGGCAGCTGCTGCAGAAGAGGGCACGGGGCTGAGCCGTAGGGTTGTAGGGTCAAAGGCTGGACGGAACTGTCTGACCCCCCCAGCCTGGCACAGGCCAGAGAACTGCCCCTGTTACCCCTGTATCGAGCCCAGAGACCTGCGACCAAAGCACCTCCCAGACAGGCCCCGGGGGCCGGAGCTCCGACGGGAGTGTCCGGCCGTGCACCCGTTAGTGTCTGAGGGACGTCCTCACGCCCGGTGGCCCTGTGTGTGCCCAAGGATCACAGCCTGGCACTGGACGTGTGGAGTCGCTTATCGACTGCGAGCCCTGGATCCCACCCAGCGTCTCTGCTCTGCGGGGGACAGGCCCCTGCTCTGTGCACCTGCGTCCCTCGGTCCTGCATGGGGGACTTTGCATTCGGCTGCACTGAACCCTTTTGGTTGAACGGGCCCAGCATGCCAGGCAGGGCAGATGGCACCATGGGACGGCCCCTCCTCAGCATTATTTACCTCCCTGCCCCCAGGCTTTGCGTCGGCTGCAGGTGTTATCAACAGTGATTCTACATTTACTGTTTCTATGACTGGTGGCTGATCTGGGAGCCAGGACTCCTGGGTTCTTCCGCGGCTCTGGGAGGAGAGTGGGGTTTCGTGGTTAGAGTGGGCAGGGCTGGGAGCCAGGACTCCTGGGTTTGTCCCCGGCTCTGGGAGAGGAATGGGGACTCCCCCCACTGCCCTGACAGGTTTCTCCCCAGATTGCATGTTCGAGGGCCAGCCGTACAGCCCCGGGGAGAGCTTCCAGCCGTCACTGGATCCCTGTGAGATCTGCACCTGTGAGGTAAGCGGACAGGGAGCAAACACTGCTCCCCCTCCTCCCAGGCGGCGGGCTGGGGACACCCCCAGGCCTCCCACACTGTGCACTCGTCCTGGGGGTGCCGCGGCTTTGGGGGTCTGCTCTCCCATCTGGAGTCTTGTGGGAGACTCATCAGGGAGGGGGGCTATTCTGACCCCTGCCCCTGGATTGGCAGGATGTAACAATGCTGGATCTGGCGGGACCCAACGGAGTGTCAATTCAGGACAAATTGCTGAAAACAGGGCAGTTACAGCCCCAGGCTGGGGTTTTTCCACCTCTAAGGCACCAAACCAGCCAGACAGAGAGGACTTCGGTCTCACCCACTGGCTGACCACAAGTCACACAAGCAATTCCCTCAGACACTCCAGTTCCCCAGTATCACCACCAGGCCACTGGTTATGGGACAAATGGTTATGAAAACCAAGACCCCAGTGAAAGAAAAAGGAAAACGGTTCTCCTGATCCCAAAGGACCCAAACCCCAGACCCAGGTCAATATACAAGTCAGATCTCACCCACAAATCCCGCTGTTGCCAATCCTTTAGAATCTAAAATCTAAAGGTTTATTCATAAAAGGAAAAAGATACAGACGAGAGCTAGAATCGGTGAGATGGAATCAATGACATCCAGTGATGGCCAAGTTCTTGGTTCAGGCTTGTGGCAGTGATGGAATAAACGGCAGGTTCAAATCCAGTCTCTGGAGAACGTCCCCAGCTGGGATGGGTCGTTCAGTCCTTGGTTCAGAGCTTCAGTTTGTAGCAAGGTCCCTCCAGAGGCAGGAAGCAGGACTGAAGACCATGTGGAGATGAGGCATCAGCCTTTTATAGTCTCCTCCAGGTGGCAGGTCCCCTCTTTGTTCGTACTGTGGAAAATTACAGCAAAATGGAGTTTAGAGTCATATGGGCAAGTCCCTGCGTGCCTGGCTGAGTCGCAAGGCGTATCTGCCTTCTCTCAGTGGGTCAGGTGTGTCGCTGATGGTCCTTCATGGGCCATCCGGCCGGCTAGGCAGAGCTGACACCAGCGTGTCCGGGGTGTCCCCCAGAAGCAGAGCACAAGTTTGAGCTACAGACAGTAGAGAGCCAATGTTCATAACTTCAACTACAGAAATGACACACACATGCAGACAGCATAATCCTACCCAGCCAATCACAGCCTTGTCTGAGACACCCCACGTGACCTCCTTTGTACCAGATTTGGTGCCACTATAGGACCTTGGTTGCACCAATGATCTGTACGGTCCCAGATTCTGTCAATAACGTGACACAGGGTCTGTGCTGTGAGGGGTCGGGGGGACGGGGCAGTAACCAGCCTGGTCTCTGCCTTTCGTTCCAGCGGCTGGCGGTCGAGGGGCCTCATGTGCGCTGCTACCGCAGGCAGTGCCCCAGCCTGGTCGGCTGCCCCAGGAGCCAGATCCAGCCGCCCGGGCCACAGCACTGCTGCCCCACCTGTGCCCGTGAGTACCCTGCGGGCACACGCCAGGGCTGCTCAGCCAGGGCCTGGCACGGGGCGGCCATTGCTCTGGAATGCCCTGTGCCTACCCCACACAACCCACAGTGCCCCCTGCTGGGCAAGGCCGGGCTGGAGTCTCCAGGAACTCCCCCCACGGCCAGTGCCCGCACCTCACTCCCCACAGCACCCCCTGCTGGGCAAGGCCGGGGCTGAAGTCGCTGCGAGTGCCCCCACGGCCAGTTCTCCCACTGCGCTCCCCACAGCAGCCCCTGCTGGGCCAGACCGGGGCTAGAGCAGCTGGGAGCTCCCCCATGGCCAGCGCCCGCTCCCCATAGTGCCCCCTTCCGGGCAAGGCCGGAGCTGGGCTGTTTCACTGGTCAGTCCGTTCCCGTCACACAGGTGTCTGGCCCTGGCTCCCCCCGGCAGGGCGGGGCAGGGTGGGGTGGGGCTGTCCCTTGTGCCTTGGCCCATCACCCCACCCCTCACCCCACTGCCTTTGTGGCTTGCAGAGGCCTTGAGTAACTGCACGGCCGAGCTGGCCGGGAACGAGCTCCAGGCGGCTGACGACCCGTGTTACACCTGCCAGTGCAAGGTACGAGCCCTGGGGCCGGCTCTGTCCCTCCGCTGGGCAGCGGCTGCCGGGCTGAGCTGAGCCTGACCCCGCTGTGTGATCAGACCCCCATGCCGGCGCCTGCTCCAGGGGGGTGCGGACGCCTCCTGCCCTCAGCCCTTCGCGTCCCAAGATTGCGCCCCCGGGCTGTGCCGTGCAGCCCCCTCTGTGGTGGGGCGGGGCAGCCGTGGAACGGCGCAGTCATTCCGGGAACGAAGAGTCTCGTCTCTGACGCACACGGCGCCTTGGGGTGTGCCCACGGCCTGCCCCCCATGGCCCACGTTTAATGTCACCCCCACCACCGCCCTGGGGCATCGGGTCAGCGCAGAGTGCAGGGGAGAGTGCCCCCTGCTGGGCCCCCACCCCGCTCCCTGCAGCACCCTGGGCCTCCCTTGGAGGTCTCCCATCCAAAGAGTGACCAGGGCCAGCCCCGCGTGGTGTGAAGTGGGGCCAGAGCCCAGCAGGGAGAAGTGGGGAGTCCATGGCCCTTGATTTTCAGGGTGCCCCCCATAGTGGGAAGGCTCCAGCTCTCCCTCCAGTGACCCTCTAGGGGCTGGCCCCTTGGAGCCATGGAGAGCACACTGGGTGTGGCCTGTCCGCCCCATGGCTCCCCTGCTGGACCCCTCTCCGGGCCCCCCAGGTTCCTCTCATCCCATTAGCAGCAGGCCTGGCCGAGAGAGAATCGTGAGGGGTGCCCAGCTCCGGGCACTGGCCTCCATACCCACAGCTGACCCTGGTGTGTGTGTGTGTGTGGGGGGGGGGGCGTGCCACCGCCCCGTCCCATGTGTCTGTGCCCAAGTCGCGACCCCGTCCCATGGGTCTCTGTGCGCCCATGTTGCCATCCCGGGTTGCCCCCTGTGCCCTGGCTGCATCCCGGCCCCCGCTCTTCTCATTGCAGGATCTCACCTGGGTGTGCGTGCACCAGGGCTGCCCGCAGCTCAGCTGCCCTCCCGCCGAGCAGTTCACCCCCCAGGGCGCCTGCTGCCCCATCTGTGACGGTGACGTATGGCCAGCGCCTGCTCGCACCCGGAGGCCTCGCCGAGGGGCCCCTTGGAGCACGCTTCATTGTGGGGGGGAGGGGGAGCGGCATGGCACCAAGAAGCGGGGGGCTGGGATCTGGGGATCCCTGCGTTCCAGGCAGCAAGTCCCCCCCTACCCAGCTGGGCACGGAGCCCTGTGGCTGGGGTGCTCGGAGCTGGCCACGCACAGAGGCCACAGGGCAGTTGTCCCTTCAGTGGCAGCAGAGGCCAAGCGGGCGAGGGGGACCCCGAGGCGGTGACGCTGGGTTAGCTTCCCCCAGGTCTGTCTGTCTGTCAAGCACCCGTCCCTGCAGACAGACAGCACAGTGCTAGATCAGAGCTAATAACTCTGAAGCCTAGTGATGGCAAACTGCCGGTCAGCACAGGGCTGACTGTGTGAGAATCCCCCCTGTCCCATCATGTGGCCCCCCCAGGAACTGTCTTGCGCCATCATTGGCATTGCTGGTCACAGGGCGGCTGTCTGCCCACGCAGTTCCCAGCGCCCATCCCCATAGGTCTGGGGCAGCGGCTGACCCCCACCCTCCCTTGCAGAGTGTGTGATAGAGGCTGGAGAGCGCCGGGTGTCGGACGGTGAGAGCTGGATGGACAGTGAGGACGACTGTGTCAGCTGCACCTGTCATGTAAGCCCCAGCGGGGGCAGCCCCCACCCCAGCCTGGTGCTGTGCCCTGGGGCATCCCCTCCCCCACACCTGGTGTGTCTGTGCCCTGGGGGCTCCGTTCCCACCCCCAGCCTGGCGTGACTGTGTCCCTACCCCTCTCCCTCCAGCCAGTGCTTCCCAAACAACCGGCGATTCCCCAGGCGCTGGGCAGGGAGGGGCTTCGCCTGGGGCCCCACAGCAGGGCCTGGAGGGAAACCCAGGAGTCCTGGCTCTGTGGCAGGGATCCCTGGACAGGCCATATGGCACCTTGCTTGGGCTGCCCCCTCCCGGGCCAGCGGGCGCGGGGTACGGAACAGGGGGGCGGGGGGCAGGCCCACCTGTGTGCCAACGAGGCCAAGGGCTGCATTTGGGGGGCAGAGGGCAGGGCTCTCCGTGTGGAAAGGATGGATCAGTCCCCCCGCTCCAGGCGTGCCGTGTGCAGACTGGCTACCGGTGCCCTCTGTGCCTGGGGCTGCCCGGCTGGGGGGAGAGGGGCGGAGGGCTGTCGGGTGGAGCCGGGCTCCCACTCCTCTCCGTTGTCTCTGCCACGCAGCGCGGCCACGTGGAGTGCCACGTCGCGGCGTGCGAGCCCGTCGAGTGCCAGGGCAGCCTGCGGAGGGTACGGATGCCCGGCTCCTGCTGCTACGAGTGCCAAGGTAGGCGCTGCTCCTGGCGGGCTGGCCGGGTGCAGGGCCCACGCCACAGGAGGGGAGGGGTGGCAGGCCAGTGACTCCGCAATGGCAGGCTCCCTAGGGGCGTGCTGCTCCCCCGGGCGGGTGCCCAGTACGGTGCCACCCCCTCGCTGGCAGATCCCGGAAGATGGCACGGAAGAGGTTAAAGGGGCTGCTCACAGAAGGTGCCAGTCTGCACAGGGCAAACTTCACAGCCTGTGCGGTGAGGCTGATCAGTGTCAGTCCTCCGTCCCAGGTGGGGAAACTGAGGCACCGAGCAGGGGAAGGGGGCCCTCTGCACGCTGCACAGAGACCAGTGCTGGGAGTAAGACCCAGGAGTCCTGGCTCCCCTGATTCTCCCTGCTCGAATCACCAGCCACGCTGCCTTCCGCGTTCCCGCACCGTCTGGCAGGCGGCACACCGGCCCCGCGCTGGGCGGGCCAGACCTGGCGCCCTGCCTGCGCCATGCCAGTCCTGCCACCTTGGCAGGACCCGGCGCCTGCCCCCAGGCCGCTGTCTTCTGGGCCTGGGGGATCCCCACAATGCTGGCTCCATCCTCTGCCCTCAGACCCAGAGGGCTCCTGCTCCTACCAGGGCCAGCGGTACCCGGCCAGCGAGCGCTGGCAGGTGGACACCTGTACGACCTGCACCTGCGTCTCCGGGGAGGTGCACTGCCAGATCCAGCCCTGCCCCCCGGCCGCCTGCGCCGCGGTGAGTGAGGGGCCCAGCTAGGCCCCTGCCCTCCCTCTCCCCGCTGGTCGAGCTCCTTGGCTGAGCCATGGGGGGGCAGGTCAGGGGCCCCCCTGAGGACTTGCCTTGGCCACTGGGGGGTGAGTACTGTCCCATTGCCAGGATCCATTGCGCCCACCCCGTTACCCTGGGAGGTGTCCCATAGCCATGCTGGGGGGGATGGCAGCCAGCGCCGGGCGTTACAGGGTGGGAAGGGTGGAAGCCGGGAGGGGGATGGGAGAGGGGCAGCCAGCCGTGGGCATTACGGGGGCAGAGGCTGGCACCCGCATCCCCGTAACGGCCCCTGTGTGCCCAGGATGAGACACCTGCCCTGGCGCCAGGCACCTGCTGCCCTCGCTGCCTGCCCCGCCCCGCCACCTGCCTGGCCTTCGGCGACCCACACTACCGCACCTTCGACGGGCGCACCCTGCACTTCCAGGGCACCTGCACCTACGTCCTGGCCCAGGACTGCCAGCGGGAGGACTTCAGGTGAGAGGGGGCGCAGCAGACATGGGCAGCAGCCCCAGGGAGGGGAGCCTGGGGGGAAGGGAAAGGCTGCCTAGTAGTGAGAGCAGGGGGCTGGGGGCCAGAACTCCTGGGTTCTATCCCAGCTCTGGGAGGGGAGTGGGATCTAGTGGGTTAGAGCAGGGGGCTGGGGGCCAGGACTCCTGGGTTCTATCCCAGCTCTGGGAGGGGAGTGGGGGCTAGTGGGTTAGAGCAGGGGGCTGGGGGCCAGGACTCCTGGGTTCTATCCCAGCTCTGGGAGGGGAGTGGGGGCTAGTGGGTTAGAGCAGGGGGCTGGGGGCCAGGACTCCTGGGTTCTATCTCCAGCTCTGGGAGGGGAATGGGGTCTAGTGGTTGGCGGTTTGGAGCCCGGACTCCTGGGTTCTGTTCCCAGCTTTGTTCCTAGCCCACCGAGGAAAGCCCTCCCCCCACACGCAAACCCTGTGCCCGTCTCCTGCCCGCAGCATCCACGTGACCAACGACGACCGGGGGCGCCCGGGTGTGGCCTGGACCAAGGAGGTGACGGTGCGAGTCGGGGACACCGTGGTGCAGCTGTTGCAGGACTGGCTGGTCAGGGTGAGACGGGCAACAGTGCCAGGCCGGACGCCCACTGCACCCCGAGCCTCTGCCCATGGCGGAGCCGGGTCTGGAGCCTGCACTGGGCAGGGCCCTGGTGCGGTTATGGGAGGTCACCTGGAGGCAGGAGGGAACCAGGCCGCACAGGTGGGACCCCGGTGTCTTCCGGTGCCCGCTGAACCCCTGCCCTTCCCTCCCAGGTGGACGGCCAGGTGGTGACCTTGCCCTTCCTCAAGGAGCCCCACCTCTACGTCGAGCGCCAAACCAACACCATCCTGCTCAACACCAACATCGGGGTGAAGGTAACCGCTGGGCATGGGGGTCCTCTGCCCTGCCGCTGCCCGCTGGGGTGCCGCCCCCAGGCCCCCGATCCAGGCTGCGCCAGCGGGAGGGCATTGTCACGCAGGCATTTCAGACCGCTCCTGGCTGGTGATCCAGCCCGGGGCCTGGCAGGCAGAGCAGCACCTGTGACCGGCGGCTGGCTGGGCCCTGTGCCCCGCGTTGGGGGGGTGCTGCCCATCTCCCCTCTCCCCCCAGGTCCTGTGGAGCGGGCGCTCGCAGCTGGAGGTCAGCGTGCCCGGCACCTACAAGGGGCACACGTGCGGTCTGTGTGGCAACTTCAACGGCCACCCGCAGGACGACACCCGCCTGCGCTCGGGGCAGCTGGCCCGCTCCGAGGCCGCCTTCGGCAACAGCTGGAGGGTGAGCGGGGGCCACCCCAGGGACAGCAAGCCAGGTCCTCCGGCTGCCCACAGCCCAGCCCCCTTCCCCGCCATAACTCCCCCCCCCGCCCGGCTCCCTTCTCCACCATCACACCCCCCAGCCGGCTCCCTTCCCCCTCGGTATCCCTCTGGGGTGCCCATCATGACCCCCGAGTGCCCTGGAGTGAGGGCTGCGACCCCCAACTAGGGGGAATTGTATGCGGAAGGGAGACAGCCATGAGGAGGAGGTAGCCAGGACATGGGCAGCCCCCCTTGCCCTACTCCCTGCAGCGCCCCCCAGTGCCACACCAGGGCATTGGGGCCAGCACTGACTGCCAGGGGAGAACGCCCCCTGTTGAACCCCCCCCTTACTGCAGGACAGCGCGCCCTATCACCGCCATAGGGCGCTGGCCCCCCAGCCCCTGCCCTCCCTCCCTCCCTCCCTGCAGCCCCCGGGCTCTGCTGGGTCTCCAGGCTGGGTGGGTGCTGGGGGCGATCCCCCCTCCCCGCGCTGACGGCGTCTCTGGGGCAGGTGCTGAGCGGTAACGGCACAGGCGGGCCGTGTGCCGACGGGCGGGATGTGGATCCCTGCAAGGAGGCCGGCTACCGCGCCCGCAAGGAGGCCAACGCCCGCTGCAAGGTGCTGAAGTCGGGGGCGTTCGAGCCCTGCCACCCCCTGGTGCCCCCGGAGCCCTTCTTCGCCGCCTGCGTCTACGACCTGTGTGGGGCCGGGGCCGAGCCCTGCCTGTGCGACGCGCTGGAGGCCTACGCCGCCCTGTGCCGCCGGGCCGGCTTGGCATTGAGCTGGCGCTCGCCCACGCTCTGCGGTGAGGGGGGGGTGGGGGCCAGGGCTTCCCACTCCTCCCACCCGGACCCTCGCAGCCCTGGGCCCGGCCATGACCCCCACTGGTCGGGGGGCGGGCCCTGGGCTGGCTCAGATCGGGGTAGCGGGGGAGCCCCGGGGAGGGGGAAGGTCCCGGGCTGGCTCAGATCAGTGGGGGGAGTCCCTGGGGGGCAGGTTCTGGGCTGGCTCAGATTGGGGGGGGGGCAGGACCTGGGGGGGGGCAGGCCCTGTGCTGGCTCAGATTGTGGGGGAGCCCTGCAGGGGGGCAGGCCCTATGCTAGCCCAGATGCAGGGGTGCAGAAGGGGCAGGTGGTGGGCACAGCCCCAACCCCCTGGGGAAATTCAGGCCAGCCCCATGGCCACGGGGGCAGTTCTGGCTTCTCACCCTCGGGGCTGAGCCTGGGCTGAGGGGGGAGGCAGGTCCCAGGACTGCCTCTTCCCCCCCCCCGAGCCCTGGCACTGACCCCTCCATCTCCCTCCAGCCGTCGGCTGCCCCAAGGACCGGGGCTACGTGTTCGACGAGTGCGGCCCGCCCTGCCCCAAGACGTGTTACAACAAGGATGCGCCGCTGGGGGCCATCGAGTCTCGCTGCTTCACGCCCTGCGTGCCCGGGTGCCAGTGCCCCGCCGGGTGGGTCGAGCACGAGGCCCACTGCGTCCTGCCCGAGGCCTGTCCCCGGGTCATCTACGACAGCCTCTGAGCCCTGGGACGCCCGCGTCCTCCGCCATGGCCCCGGGGCCGGCCACGCTCCCTCCCACAGCCCCTGGGACGCCCGCGTCCTCCGCCATGGCCCCGGGGCCAACCACGCTGCCTTCCACAGCCCCTGGGACGCCCGCGTCCTCCGCCATGGCCCCAGGGCCGGCCACGCTCCCTCCCACAGCCCCTGGGACGCCCGCGTCCTCCGCCATGGCCCCGGGGCCGGCCACGCTCCCTCCCACAGCCCCTGGGACGCCCGCGTCCTCCGCCATGGCCCCGGGGCCAACCACGCTGCCTCCCACAGCCCCTGGGACGCCCGCGTCCTCCGCCATGGCCCCAGGGCCGGCCACGCTCCCTCCCACAGCCCCTGGGACGCCCGCGTCCTCCGCCATGGCCCCGGGGCCGGCCACGCTCCCTCCCACAGCCCCTGGGACGCCCGCGTCCTCCGCCATGGCCCCGGGGCCAACCACGCTGCCTTCCACAGCCCCTGGGACGCCCGCGTCCTCCGCCATGGCCCCGGGGCCGGCCACGCTGCCTCCCACAGCCCCTGGGACGCCCGCGTCCTCCGCCATGGCCCCGGGGCCGGCCACGCTGCCTCCCACAGCCCCTGGGACGCCCGCGTCCTCCGCCATGGCCCCGGGGCCGGCCACGCTGCCTCCCACAGCCCCTGGGATGCCCGCGTCCTCCGCCATGGCCCCGGGGCCGGCCACGCTGCCTCCCACAGCCCCTGGGACGCCCACTGTAACGATGCTGGTTCTGGCAGGATCCAACTGAGAGTGCCAGTTCAGGACAAATTGCTGAAAACAGGGCAGTTACAGCCCAAGGCTGGGATTTCTGTGCACCCCACTGGCTAACCACAAATCACACAAGCAATTCCCTCAGACACTCCAGTTTCCCAGTATCACCACCAGGGCCACTCGTTATGGGGACGACTGGTTATGAAAACCAAGACCCCAGTAGCAGAAAAACAGTTCTCTCGATCCCAAAGGACCAAGCCCCAGACCCAGGTCAATATGCAAGTCAGATCTTACCCACAAATCACACTGTTGCCAATCCTCTAGCATCTAAAATCTAAAGGTTTATTCATAAAAGGAAAAAGATACAGACGAGAGCTAGAATCGGTGAAATGGAATCAATGACAGCCAGTGATGGCCAAGTTCTTGGTTCAGGCTTGCAGCAGTGATGGAATAAACGACAGGTTCAAATCCAGTCTCTGGAGAACGTCCCCAGCTGGGAGGGGTCGTTCAGTCCTTGGTTCAGAGCTTCCGTGTAGCCAAGTCCCTCCAGAGGCCAGAAGCAGGATTGAAGACAAGATGGAGGAGCTGCCGCAGCTTTTACAGACTCCTGCCAGGTGGTCTCTGCTTTCCTTGTCCCAGAGACAAGCTGCCCCTCACATGGCCTGGAAAACCCTCAGCAGTCTGTCCATAGGCAGGTCCCTGCGTACCTGGCTGAGTCGCAAGGTGTATCTGCCTTCTCTCCGTGGGTCAGGTGTGTCGCTGATGGTCCTTCATGGGCCATCCGGCCGGCTAGGCAGAGCTGACACCAACGTGTCCGGGGGTGTCCCCCAGAAGCATAGGACAAGTTTGAACTACAGACAGTAGAGAGCCAATATTCATAATTTAAATTACAAAAACAATACACACAAGCAGACAGCAGAATCATAACCAGCAAACCCCAACCTTGTCTTAGACACCTCATTTGACCCCCTTTATACAAGATTTGGTGCCACTTCAGGACAGTTGCAACTATGATCTATACGGTCCCAGTTCACGCCAGTAACCTCACACCTGCGTCCTCTGCCATGGCCCCGGGGCTGGCCACACTCCCAGTTGGTGCCCCAGATATGACCCCTGCAGCACCCATGGGGGACCCACAGGGAGCCTGGCAGCTCCAATACTCCTCCCCCACCCACAGGGAGGAGGCAAGGGTCTGCCACCCCCTTGTCCCCGCTTTTTCCCCTCGGATCCCCCCCAGGTTGCCCCAGCCAGGGCATGCAGCCATGGGGGTGCAGGGAGGGGCAGGGTGCCAGGCTGGCCATGGCTCCCACACGCCCAGCTGCAATGGCTTGAGGACCATTTCCTGAACACCAGCCCCGGCAGCACAGAGTGGGGAGAACGGACTCCTGGGTTCTATCCCCAGTACCCCCTAGGTCTCGGTGTCCCATCCATGCCCTTAGCATCAAGTCCTGCAGGCCCCCTGGGGGTAACGGTGCCCTGGCACTAGTATTGCTGGGCACGCAGGCTGGCATGGAGCCCCCCCCAGTCTGGATCCACCCCTGCCCGTACCCCGCCCTGCCCAGCACCCAGTGGCATCGTCCACCATCAGGTGCCATCAGCCAGTCACACGGGGTGCTGTGTCCTGGCACAGATGGGCTGGCCAGTCCCCCTGGCCTTGGGGAAAGGTGCCAGGTGCAGATTGTGCCGCCCCTGTGCCCCTTTGGCTGGACAGGGGCAAGGGTATTTATCAGTGTGGTGGGGGCTGGGCCAGACCTCACCCCCTGTGCCCACAGCAATAAACGTGGTAACCATGGGCAAGCGTCTGGTCCTTGGGCAGCGGCCTCTGGCCAGTGGGGGCCTGTGGCCCATCACCCGGGCATCTGCTGCTCGGGCAGCCCTGCGACGTTGCCCACGACCCAGTGTGGCCCGTGGAGTCAGGGCTGCAACCAGCCCAGCCCCTCCTGTGCCTGGCTCGCCCCATGGGGCCCAGTCGCACCAGCTGCGGGGGCAGCTAAGTGGCAGGATTCAGCTGGCTCAGAGTCCCTGGGTGGCCCTGCCCAAGAGCCTGCCAGGGGTGCATTGGCAGCAGTGGCTCCCCACTGCCCACCTGGCCCCCAAGGCTTGGGGTGCAGCTCCCTGGCCAGGTGCCAGCGATGCCCATCTGTATCGCGGCAGGTGCTCTCTGTGGGCAGATATCCCCCCCACCCCCGCAGTGCTCTGGGCACCTGGGGCCATGTCTTCCCAGGTGCCCTCCAGATCCTCACCAGGAGCCAGCGGGTCGTCCCCCAGGGCACTCGGCCCTGCCCCGCCCACGCCCCTGGCCCTGCTGCTGTGAAATCACTAGTGCTGCCCGCGAGCTGCATGTCTCCGGATGCCGCCTGGCGCCCTGCGGAGCTCCCTCTCCCTGGGATGGGGGCTGGTCACTGGCTCTGTGACCTCCCCCCATTTCTCTCCATCCCCCCCCCCCCCGGGTTCCATTGATGCTTTGGGGGGAGGCTGCCTGCAGCTGGCACAGACGGAGCCCAGCCCCTCGGAGCAACGCTGCCGTCAGCCCAGCGCCCCGTGATGGCAAAGGAGAGTCCAGCTTGGCGGGAGATCTGCGGGGGAGGGGGGGGGACTGATCTCACCTGAGCCTCCCGCAGTGTGGGCCACCGGGAGCCGAGCTGGAGCCAGGACTCCTGGGTTCTCTGCCCAGCTCTGGGAGGGCAGTGGGTCCGGCTGCTGCTATAGACCTGCTCAGGATTGTTGTTCCTACACCACCACCCCCACCTCCCCGGAGGGTCCTTGACAAAATGCCCTGAGGGTCGGGTTGCAGGGGGGGGGGGGGTTCCCTTCATCCCCCCGGCCCTATGGGCCATTCTGCCCCAGGGACAGGCACCAGCCAGAAGCTCAGCCAGGGACCCAAAGCCCTGGTGCCAGGGGGCAGTGGCCGTGTGCCAGGAGGCAGGGGGAGAGCCGTGCCAGGCTCAGAGCCCAGTGCCAAGACCCCCTGGCAGGTGCCCAGCAGTGCCCATCGCAGTGGGTCAGACAGGCCATCACAGCACCCAGCCCGAGACACTCACCGGGTGGCCACGTCCCGCCCCAGGGCCTGGCACCCCCCAGCACCACAGGCTGCAAACTGGGGTGGGGCACCCCTTTGCCAGGATAGGGGCAGGAGGGCACCTGCCCCAAAGAGCACAGCCATGGGCAGGGGAGGGAGATGGGGCCCCCCCCCCCCAACCCCCACACTGCAGCTCAGATGTCCCGAACCTGACACCTGGTGCCCCTGCATAATTGAGGAGCTGCCAGCAGCCAGGGAGCCGGGCGCCTGACACAGCCACCACCAGGTACGATTCCCCCCACACACACACATGGGGCACCAGCTGCCCCCCGGCATGGTGCAGAGGCGGGGGTGATGGGCGCAGGACAGCGTGGCAGGGCCCTGCATCTGCTCAGGGCTGATTCCTTGGCTGCCCCTTGTGAGCATCTGCAGGCTGGGGACATGGGCACTGCCCACTTGGGGGGCATCCTTAGCCCATTGCCAGCCCGGGCCAGCTCCCAGCCTCGGCACACTGCGGCCCCCCTCCCTGGGTCGGTCCGGCCTCTCCCAACCTACCCGTCTGTGGGATGCCCAGCCACCCCCTCCAGGCTTCGAGCCCCCGGGGGCCATGGTGCCGGGGGGACCCCATCACCGGGGCCAGTAGTGCCAGACATGGGGGGGAGTCCTGGGGCCTGGCGCAGGGGAGCTGTGGGGGGTGCCCTGGGGTAGGTGCTGCGGGGGGGGGGGCAGGTCCTGGCTCCAAGCCCTAGGGGAGCTGATCACCACCTCCTCCGCAGGCCACCAGCTGCCTGAGATGGACCCATTGCCCCAGGAGGCCCCGAGCCTGTGGGAGCTGTGTGGGCTCCACACACAGGGGGCCCAGAGGCCAGGGGCCACACACCAGGTGAGACTGGCCCCACACAGCCTCTCTGGGCACATCTGGGCAGCTGCCACGTGGGGGGGGGCTGGTGACCCCCTTGCCCCCAGGGGCCAGACCACAGCCCCATTGCCAGCTTGGTGGGACAGGGCTAGGGACACCCCGGGGTGCTGCGCTGGCAGGAAGCCAGGCAGGGGCTGGACCCAGTTGGGTCAGGAGGGTCCAGTGTGGGGCAGCTTGGCCCATGGCTCCTGTGGGGGGTGGGCAGGTGCTGGGGGCAGCTGGCATGAGCTGGGCACATGGGCTATGAATGCCAGAGAGATGGTGTGAGCTGGACAGCACCCTGCAACCTTCCCTGCCCTCCAGCTCCGCCAGGGCCCCTCAGTCCTGACCCACAGCCCCCTGTTACCCCAGCCCCCTCCCCACTCAGTCCCCCTGGGGCTGACCCTGCCTTCCAGTGCCCAGTTTGCACATTGCTGTGATGCCCCCCTCCCGGTGCCCCCCTGTGCTCTCCTGCAGCAGCTGCTGGGGAGCAGGCTGGGGCTGCTGGCACCGTCCCCACCCCTCTGAGCCCTTCTCCCCCCAGGGCTGTGGGGCTGGGCCCCAGGGAAGCTTCTGCACCGAGATGCTGCTGGAGACGCTGCTGGAGGCCGGGTGGCGGCACCACCTACTGGCACAGGTGCGCTGGGCTGGGTCAGACCCTGCGGAGTGGGGCAGGGATCTAGGCAGGGCTGTGACCCATGGGGCAGCCAGACCCCGGGGAAGGGGCAGCCCCTGGCTCTCTAGTGCCCCCCTGTGGCAGGCTGAGGAGCTGCTGTGCCCCGCCATGCCCAGAGGGGGCAGCGTCCGTCACTGTGTGGCCTGTCCAGGTCCTAGCCAGCGCCTGCCCCACCAGTGGCTGGGGGGAAGTGCCCCCAGCACAGCGCCCACCCTGTGTGGCAGAGGGGCCAAGGCCTGGGGTCCCTTAGCCCTGAGGGTCCATGCCAGGGCCCAGCCGCGTTCGCCCCCTGGCTCCGGCCCTGCGCTCGTGCGCTCCTCCCCCGCCCGCTCGGCTCCCCGGCTCCGCAGCATCTCCCCACCTGTCTGCTCCTGCCCCCCGGCGCTCCTCCCCCGCCCGCTCGGCTCCCCGGCTCCGCAGCATCTCCCCACCTGTCTGCTCCTGCCCCCGGCGCTCCTCCCCCCGCCCGCTCGGCTCCCCCGGCTCCGCAGCATCTCCCCACCTGTCTGCTCCTGCCCCCCCGGCGCTCCTCCCCCCGCCCGCTCGGCTCCCCGGCTCCGCAGCATCTCCCCACCTGTCTGCTCCTGCCCCCCGGCGCTCCTCCCCCGCCCGCTCGGCTCCCCGGCTCCGCAGCATCTCCCCACCTGTCTGCTCCTGCCCCCCGGCGCTCCTCCCCCGCCCGCTCGGCTCCCCGGCTCCGCAGCATCTCCCCACCTGTCTGCTCCTGCCCCCCGGCGCTCCTCCCCCGCCCGCTCGGCTCCCCGGCTCCGCAGCATCTCCCCACCTGTCTGCTCCTGCCCCCCGGCGCTCCTCCCCCCGCCCGCTCGGCTCCCCCGGCTCCGCAGCATCTCCCCACCTGTCTGCTCCTGCCCCCCGGCGCTCCTCCCCCGCCCGCTCGGCTCCCCGGCTCCGCAGCATCTCCCCACCTGTCTGCTCCTGTCCCCTGCGCTCCTCCCCCGCCCGCTCGGCTCCCCGGCTCCGCAGCATCTCCCCACCTGTCTGCTCCTGTCCCCTGCGCTCCTCCCCCGCCCGCTCGGCTCCCCGGCTCCGCAGCATCTCCCCACCTATCTGCTCCTGTCCCCCGGTGCTCCTCCCCCGCTCTGGTCCCCAGATCTGCAGCATCTCCCCACCTGTCTGCCCCCGGTGCAGACACCCCCTGGGCCCATCTGCAGCTGATGTGGCCCTTGGATCCGGGCTGGCACAACCCCTTGGCCTCATCTACTCCGGGGCCCCACATTCCCCCCCCCAGATTGCCCAGCTTGGCACAGGGGTGAGGGGGAGCTAGTGTTGATGTGACCTGGGGCAGAGCCCATCGCTCCCTAGGCTGGGATAACAGCTCACTACTGCTGCTGGCTGGCACTGAGCCAGCAAGCCGTGGGGAGGGGGAGGGGGCCTTTGACTTCAGCCTTGTCCCTTGTTCCCCACCCGCACCCCCTGCCCTGCAGCTTTACTGGGACTTCCAACTGCTGGACTCCGACGGCGACGGCCGCCTGCCCCCCCGCGACGCGGAGCTGCTGCTCCGGGAGGTGCCGGGAAGGGGCGCCAGCGGGCCAGCCTGGCACAGCTTCCTGCAGGAGCACAGGCATGGCCTGGCCTGGCGAGACATAGAGGTACCCAAGCAACTGCCCAAAGACCAAGGCTGTGGGGAAGGGGAGTCTAATGGGCAGAGCACAGAGGTGGGGGGGGCTGGGAGCCAGGACTCCTGGGTTCTATCCCCAGTTCTGGGAAGGGGGGTGTAACGATGCTGCCTCTGGTGGGACCCAACCTAGAGTATCAATTCAGGGCAAATTGCTTAGAGCAGGGTGTGACGAAGTGGGAATGTTCTTAATGTTGTCTCTGAATACTGTGTGGGTGCCTCAGTTTCCCCTAGACTTTTCTTAAGTATCTAGGTGGTGGGATAAGAGGGTGTGATTGTTGCAGAGCCCTAGAGGGCCAGTGTGATGGTGTCTGACAAAGAATGGCCGACACCCTGTCTCCTGGCCACTGACGGCCTGGGCCTCTCCTCTGCAAAGGTGCCAACTGAAGGTGTTGGAGAACAAAGAGACCAGGTGGCCTCCTGGCCTGGGAAAGAGACAAACAGAGGCCAGAGGAGGGGCGGGAGAGTTTCAGTTGGGAGCTGGCTGGGGAAATGGAGGGAGGCCCAGATGGTGCTCTGGCCTCCCTGCCCCCCAAGATGGACCTGACTGAGGGGTCCTGTTC